TACGATTGAAAATTTGGCGCGAGATTTGAAAAATGTTAACAAGGAGTGGGGGATTAACAGTTTTTAACAAGTTCTCAACAAGTCTCATACGATTGAGAATTTGGCGCGAGATTTGAATAATGTTACCAAGGAGTGGGGGATTAACAATAAAATTCTGTTGACCGTATCAGACAATGCTGCAAATGTTAATGGTAGATACTATTGATGATGTACTTAAGTGGAAGTTTTTTGAATGAATGTCTATACAGTGAATCTTATTGTTCAGAACGCACTAGTTGTCGTAAAAACGACAATTGATTCAATGAAAACGGTGGCATCACATTTCAAAAGAAGTTCACAAAGTCCACGAATAAATTGATTGAATTCCAAAAGGATATACAGGAATGGCACCAAAGAAATTGATCTAAGATGTGGTTACAAGGTGGAATTCCACATTTTATATAATTGATAGATTAATTGAGTTAGAGAAAGTAGTTAGTAGGAAGTTTGAAATGAACAGCTGAAAATAAAAATTATATTAAGCAAGAAAAAACCTGATATGAAATTACAATAAAATAAAAAATAAGCAAACAATGTACTTGTGATGCACTGTTTGGAAACTTTGGTGTAGTAATGAATATTACTGGAGTTTTTTCCCAACACCAAACCGTTATTTTAACACCTCAACACGTGTTTCGATCACCAAGTGATCATCTTCAAGAGGAAGATCAAACTGTAAAATATGTGTATAAAGGTAAACATGTGAAATTGAAGAAATATGAATGTGAACTTATATCTTGACCTAATAAGTACATAATATATAACATAAAAAGAATGACTAAATATCTGTTAAGTATACATTCAATATTGTTTGGACCCACGGCTACCTCCTTTGTGACTAATTGAACGATTTTGAAAATAGAATAGTTTCTATATAATTATATCCAATGGATTTTGAGCTCTCGATACTTAACTTACTGTTCGAGGTAACTATTCAGAATATCCTCCTTTCAATAATTTGGTTCACTCTTTCTGCAGGTACTGATTGAAGGCACTTTTTGATTTTTTTTAATATTTATTGGTTGCGGGTATGTCTTAACTCAATGGGTATTTCAGCATAGACAATTGGACTCAGATAAGACAGAAACTCTTGGTGTTTGGTTGTTCCCACTTTGGGTACTTTTGTTGGGTATTTGGCGGCACATTCTCCAGAAGCTCAGGCAGATCATCTCGTGAAAAGTTTTGAAGTAAAACTCCTATACGCGCGCTTGACTTGGGGGGGGGTAAGCTGATGAATGCGTGACGAGAGCGTTACGAAACGTTTGATCGGGTGAAGCGACTGGAAGTTGAGAGACAGGTGGAGGTATGATTTGGTGATTATTGAAAGAGAGAGAGTTATGTTTCATATATTAGACAAGAGAGAAAGGTGCGAGCACACATTCACGGTCGAGTAGGCTCTGAAGAATTGGGAGAAATCTATCATACTTTGCCAGCAATTTCAGCAGAAGATTTCATTGTTAATTATATATACTTCGCCAAGCTTTCGCTTATAATATAAAGCTTCTACAGGGCAGTAAAAATCAGTGAAAAACAATGAATTCTGTTTTAAAAAAAATCTGTTTGAAAATCTGTCTTTCCGTTAACCAGCTGTCACACCCCTACGAACGACAACCCTCAGAAGTCGAAACTTGTGCGAGCTAAGGATTAACGAGGTCTTACCTTTGAACGTGTGACTCCTAACACGGGTTGGACGATAGCAAGTGAAGATCGATCGTTCAGACTAGGGCTTGAACCACCGACCAACACGGCAGTCAATTCGAGTGAGTGAACAAATCACCCACGCCGAACCGCTTGGCTACCGACCGACATATACATCGAACATATACATTGATGAAAGAAAGTTAAACGTGTCAAAAAACATATTTAAAACAAACTGTTGATTGAATCTGAACATAAATCAGTACAACCTAGCGTGAAAGTAAATCCAAATACTGGGAAAAAGTGAAAAGGACTGCCTAACATATCTTCCAGTTATTCAAAGTGCAGTTCCAAAATTACACTGAGTAGTTTAATACACCACCGATAGATCGGTTTCGGAGTACTTGCTCCTCGCCGGTACCGGACAAGTTATTTCAGATGGAGTGAACCGTCTGAATAATCCGAAAAAACAAAATACAAAGTCGTAGGTCTTACATGAGAGGCATGGGTTAAGGTGTTTTTCACCTGAACTGGGGCGTGTCATATGCACCTCTTCGAAATATGTTTACCGTCGATTAGTCGATTGGCAAACGAAGGTGTTTCAATAAGCTTTATCAAATAAAAATAATGGTTTTCCAACATTTCCAGTTATACTGAAAGTTATTGGTACCAACTTGCTTATTTTCCTGAGTTATTTCAATTTTTCTTAAAAAAGTAATACATGCGCATATCCACCATATAAAACTACGGGTTACCAAATCTCCATTTCGAACAATTACAAAGAGTTTGTTAGAGCTATCAGTTATCGTCATGGTTTTTATTGAAGACAGAATTTCAGATGAATGAATAAAATGAGTTGAAAAATGTGTATTCTAAATGTTTCATAAAAGAGCGAAAATTCAAAAATATATCATTATTTTTCCGCACAAAATATAAAAACTTTTTCAAAATATATTCGAAGACATTTCTGTAAACTTACTAGCATTTTGAACTCTCTTCATCAGCATGACTGATGTCATCGTCATCTAGGGCGTTGAATGCTTGTTGAACTTTTCTAACCATATTCTCCTTGCTTGTTACATAATCTCCATATACAATATTTTTTATATCTTCCCAAATATATCAGTCCCTAGGAGACAGTTCGGGGAAACGTACTTGCCAAAGGTACAGCCTATTATTGGCAAAATCCACCTATCATTTACATAATTGATCAATTAATACGCCTACAGTCCCGCATTTATGAGGCAGTGCTCAATTAATGAATTATCCACTACAACCCTCATAACATTTTGAAGAATGTTACACCATTCACCATTCAAATATTCATCATAGATTTACAAACACAGAATCCTATTGTACTTCACAGCACATGGACGCGTTGAAACTCCGAAAGTAAGTATTATGACCATTAAAAATCCATTTTTGGTAAAGTTAGCTTTATCACTCCATATAATTTTTTTAAGATAATGTGGATCTTTCTATCAGCAACCATTCGCAATCCCTAGAAGACAGTTCGGGGAAACGTACTTGCCAAAGGTACAGCCTATTATTGGCAAAATCCACCTATCATTTACATAATTGATCAATTAATACGCCTACAGTCCCGCATTTATGAGGCAGTGCTCAATTAATGAATTATCCACTACAACCCTCATAACATTTTGAAGAATGTTACACCATTCACCATTCAAATATTCATCATAGATTTACAAACACAGCATCCTATTGTACTTCACAGCACATGGACGCGTTGAAACTCCGAAAGTAAGTATTATGACCATTAAAAATCCATTTTTGGTAAAGTTAGCTTTATCACTCCATACAATTTTTTTAAGATAATGTGGATCTTTCTATCAGCAACCATTCGCAAAACTCAAATCGACGGCAAATCCGTGCCTTTCAAATAATGTACCAGATGAAATATTCATTATAAAAAGCATCTAATTTTTCAGTGGGATCTGTTACTAGCTCACCCTGTTCGTTTTTCAATCGAGTATTACTTAGAGAAACTCTATCTTTGTTTTTATTTGTGAAGTTATTAACCAGTTCCCATTTTTTTATAGTTTGTTCTGCTCTTTTTCGAGCTGTTCCCGCTATAAGTTATTTACCCTCTCTGATCGATCAAAATACATAGAGTAGAGATATTGAATAACTTTTGGCGGTAATGACAATTGAAACTGCATTCGAAAACTTTCCCCGAGTACCTACACTTGGTGGAGGACATAGTGTTATGACCAAGAATGAGTCAAGTGCTGTTCGTTTTCAAACGGCTCGGGTAGATCTCGTAAAGTCTAGGAAGAAGGTCGTCTGCTTGATTCTAAATAAGATTTGAGATGCGTAACTCGCAATGAAAGCTGTACAAAATAATACACGTGAAAAAGAAGTAATGGGTCAATGGCTATTAACGCATTGTTCTATGCATTCACAATTTTCTCGAAAATGAACCCAGGAGAGCATTGCTCAATTTTCAATTCGTCAGTTTCTAGTAATATTGTAAAGGCGCATCCGTAGTGGGAGGCTCAGATACATCAGTTTCTTGGTTTCCAGATGGAACAATTCTCAATTTGACCAGTAACCACTCTGGATATTAATTTCAAATTGCCAAATTACGCCAAACTCAACCAAATTTTTATAAAATCAACATGTATAAAATAAAATTCTGCAGGCAATAATTATGGTTATGGAAAAAAGTAACATGGCCAAACATCACGGGCTCAAAGACAAGCTTTTTGGTACGAATAATGTTGACCTACGTGGAGAGTGAATTGAAACTATATTTCTTCAATTAGAAAATACACAAAGACGGATATATTGTATTTTCAACCCAACTTTTAAGCAGATTAACTGGATCAAAGTTTATGAGATAATTGAAGTCAGTGCGTGAAGAATGTTCATAAGTAGGCCGCTTTTTAAAAAAAACGCCAAATACCGTTAATTCTTCTTCTTCTTTTTCCATTAATGGCTTCAGCTGCCAGGGCTATCCAGCCAGGAGTTCCAGGATCATGTTGCTACTACAGGTGGAGCCCACACTAAAGTGGATCTGAGTTGGACCCAAACCCCACTTGGTTTTGAGATATAACAAAGTTCGACTGTAGTTTGAGGTCAGTTAACAAGCAATGTCCGTCTGCATTAGAGTGTAAGCACTAATGTGAGGTGATGCACTACGGTTACGTATATGGACACTACGGTTACGTGTATGGACACTACGATCAGGTCATGATTGGCGAAGCACTGCATGCGCACAAGTATTAGGTCTGTCTTGATCACTACAGATTTATATTGGATGCAATCAGGAATTTGGATATGGTTTGTATGTTAGATGGTCATATATGTTTGAAAAATATATCGTGGAAGGTAAGAGGCTGAATGGTTGAAGGAGGGATGCTAAGAGAGGCATGCAGTATTTGTATATTATGAGAATTATTAGGGCAGGCAAAGAATATATGTAGGAGAGTCTGTATTTCCCCACATTCGCAGCGGTCGTCATCAACTATCTTAATTTTATTGAGAGAATGAGTGCTCCTAATTCTGCACATATTGACGATTTCTTTACGAGAATAAGTAGCCAGATCCTTGAACCATGGAGTTTTGTAAGGTTGTGGTACGGAGGAAAAGTAAAGTTTGGCTTTGAATTGTCCGTCCTCGCTATATTGATTGGTCCAGTCTATCCAAATATTATGTTTCAATAATGCTTGAAACTCTCTATAGTCTGCTTGAGGGTGATTAGAGAGTGGATGATTTCTTCCAATATTGGCTAAAGTATCGGCTATATCATTACCCTTGATGTTGGAATGACTAGGAATCCATGCCAAATGTATGCTAAATCCCTTTGCGACGGCTCTGTATATCAGTTGTCTTGTACGTAATGAAAGGTAATCACTGTTTGCCGATATAGTTGACCGGGAGATTTTTGCCAGGGCGCTTTTTGAGTCGCTAAAAATGACTGCGTGTTTGAGATCGTTGTCCACAATATATTGTATTGCTTCTTGGATGGCTGTTATTTCAGCTGAGCATATTGAAAAGAAAGAGGGTAATCGTCCAGAATGGTTTAGGTTGTGTGAAAAAACTCCAATGCCAACATTACCGCGTTCGTCTTTAGATCCATCGGTGAAAAAATATGTGTGATTGGCAAATTGTTGCTGGGCGAGTCTGAGAAAATCCTGATGGTTGTCGTTCTCTTTGGAGAGATTCATTTCATGGTTGCTGTTCTTGTGACAGTGCAATGTTGCGTATTCTACAACATGATGATGTGAATTGTGATCAATGGCATGTAATATTACTTTAGGTTATGTATGCCAACTCGTGAAAGTTAACCAAATTCTTTAAATTAATTTTATGAATCAATAAAAATCTCTAGAATCATCAACGGTGTATATTATCAAATCCATGGTTTTCCGTTTTTGTATGTAGGTATAAATAAATTGTATTTTTTAGAGAATATTGGAATGGAAATATCTATATAATGAAGAGTAAACACATTTGCTTTTCTGTTTACCTTTTGGACTGAAATCAAAATATTTCACAAGTCATATTACATATGTGAGCCCTGTTTTGTTAGGTGTGACTTGTCCACATCAATTTATTTTGAGATATGTTTGTCCTGTCACAAGTTATTCGCCCTCTCTGTTAGATCAAAATATGTCGACTAGAAACAACGTATAAGTTTTGGCAGGAATGTCTCAATCCGGAATAGTTAAGGTCAGTGAGAACAAAACGCAGCTATTAACATCACATATAGTTTAGCCAATAGTTGATACTGGAATTACGTTTGATTTTTGAGAAATTATACTTACCTTTTTTTTATATGTTGATTATGAACGTAAATTACCCTGTCATTAAAATTGAAATTATTTCTTTTTACATCTATTGTTAGTTGGTTCATGGTTCATATTGTTTCTGGAATATTTTACAAATTATTCCTACTTTCAATAAATTGATGGATGTAGCCGTTACTACGTGGTAGGAAATCATAATGAAGAAAAGAGAAATTAAACTTTCTATGTGTTTTACCACTTTTATTTGTAACTAACGTTAGGTACTAACGTTAGGTCCGTATAGGACGAAACTACAGTACCGTTAGTTACAAATGAAAGTGGTAAAAACATAGAAAGTTTAATTTCTCTTTTCTTCATTATTCTTACTTTATTACCTACCATATGTAACGTTATACCTACTTGGATCATCACTTTTGGAACACCCAAACTAGAAACAATGTCGCCTCATTCCACCCAGTGCTTAATAAATTATCAAATAGGAAACAACAGATTGAATCTAATAATTACCAGCAAAGATAATTTTTCAAATTTGACACAATCATAATATGTGAACGAACGTTGGCCCTTTCACTGCGCATGGTCCAAGAACCGTGGCTAGCTCACTAGCAATTATTAGTGTTAGCGAATAGAGTCGTCTGGAGCAGCAAAGGCCAAAAAGGTATTCCTCAGTAATTCTGAAAATATTTTTTTATCAAGCTGAACATTCATCCCACCAGTTTATAGGTATAATTAAAAAAATGTTTTGGTATGTTAGTATTTGAAACATAGTACTACACAGAGTGTTACATTGAAGTAGAACACATCTAGTGCGATTTGGCTCCTTTGTTATGTTTGGCGCAAACAACACATATCTTCTGGTTGGCTTTGATTTGTTTTCTTTAGCCGAAATCAAAAGGTTTCTACTTTCTTGAATATTAATATTCTCTGAAATATATTGCTCAGGGCCATCGCCATGGGGGGATGGGGAGAGCCTCCCCACCTGCTTTTTTGACTTGGGAAAAAGTTGGGAAATTTTTGGCTGTGAAGATAGAAAAAAAAAATAGTAACAAAATGAAAAAAAATTAAAATGACAGAAAAGAAAAAGGGAGAGGTAATAAGAAAAGGGCAAGAACCAGGAGAAACTTGGGATTTCCCAACATGCATAACTTGGAGATCCCATACTTTGAAATTCTGAGTTATTTGAAAACTTCAAAAAAGTTCAACTTCTCCAAGTAAGAGAACAGTCCTGAACAGTCCACAAATTTTGAAGTGACAATTTCACAAAATTCCCAACTTTTCGCTGTTTTTTCGACTTGGAAAAGTTGGGAAATTTCGGGCCGTGAAGACAGAAAAAATAATAGTCGAAAACAATAAGCACAATATTATTTAAGTGTTGTTTCCTTTCATTTGAATTGAATATTCCTATACATGGGGGATATGGTGGACCTTGTTCCAAAGTAGAATAATTCCCATTATTATTTTTATAGTCACCAAAATTTATTTTTGTTTGTGCATACCCTAACGGGCATCAGCATTCAGGCAATCTTTGGATAGCTAAGTAAGAAAATTTATATATCATAGTAGTAATTAATCCCTCGGCTTTCATTTTCTCGAAACTTGGGAAATTTTGCTGGTGGACTTGGGAAAATTTGGATTCCCTCCCACCCCTAGTTTTTCTTTTCGCTACGGCCCTGATATTGCTACATAAAAACTAAATCCGATATTCCCATTAAATCTGGGAAAAAAAAGAATCAAGCTCTGTAAAGGCTAGTTCATGTTGGAACGAACATCGCATAAAAATAAGTGCGATATAAAATGGCGTCGTGTTTATCGTAAAAAAGTTGAAAAAATTGAACTTTTTTGCGATTTCCGCAAAATTTTATACGTCAACATACAATGAGATTACATTGCTATTTCATTTGACTCTCGTTTTTTAAGCCCATAAATCGAAATTGAATCCGAAATGGACGAATGTGTAATGTGTTAGGTTGTTCAAATTATATCAACTTTACCGTATATATAAAGTTTCATTGAGAAACCCCCGCCTTTATTGTGTGAGAAATATTTTCAAAAACAGAAGGAAATATGGAGAATTTCACAACCTTGTGACTGAAATGAGAATCAGTGATCCAGAGAAATATCTCAACTATTACAGGCTGACTCTCTCATTATTCAATAAATTATTGAATTTGGTTGGCCCTTCGTTAAAGAAGACTCATTTTGCAAAAGAACCCCTCGCTCCTGCACTTAAGATAAGTGGTTTGAAGACACGCTACTATTAAACAAAACTTGAGAAAAGTGTTAGTCCTATTTTCTGATATGATGGGGTCTGGTTTTGAAAGTAGTAATTCGTATGAGTCGTATGTCATCATTCAGGTTCATGTAATAAAATTTAAAATTCAACACTAAAATCCCTAGATATTGCCCGCTTTAACATGAACAGACTAGGTATTTTGACAATTAGGACAAATTTGCGGAACCGCAAAAATATTATCGCAATCGTTCTAATATGAACTCGCCTTAACACCTTGAATTTTGCAGCCAGAACTGGATTCATGAAATTCATGAACCCGTTGGCGAGTATACTTGCCTTGGGCAGTGAAAGGATTAACTCACGTTTCTTGTTTGCGATAACCTCACTTATTTGTTTTCAAGAAAATAGAGAATGGTGACATCATTCATTAAGGATCGATTAACTTCTAAAATTAATTGAAATATTGACAACAAAGAGAACAAGTTGGTACGTCTGAACTACACTACACTACTTGGTCTACATCTACATCAACTTTTGAAACAAAAGCGCATTTCAGCATTCACCAGTGTATAGAAATCTAAATTTTTCTGTTGATATTATTATTAATAGCATTATGCGAGATGTAGAAACTGTAAGTGGTTCACACGGTGATAATCGCACAAGGTATTTTAGAAAACCAAAAATATTTTACATTGTCTTTTTTATCTTACTGTTCCTCACTACTGGTATTGGAATCATCATACTAATTATTTTCAAATTCAATTGACAAGCCGTCAATCGTCAAATGCTGACTGGTAGAAGTAGAAGTGTTTATGCTCCTGAATTTGTGATTCTGAGGAGAGATATTATCATGTGTAATTGTTAGGTTATCTACATTAATAAATAATTGTATATCATTTTGAATTTTAAGACAATGATGTCTTCAACATTTTTTATTCGTAATACTAGAACACTGAAATCTAGTTACTTTCCTTCAAAATTATTATTTAACTCTTATGCTACATCTCAACCAGTTGTTCAAAATCCTCAAGAGCGGTTTGATAATCAACTGAAAGATTTTGAGACATTAACTAATATCAACAAAAAGGCACGCAAAAAAAAGCCTCAAAAATCGCCATTTGTCAAAAACTTACTGCTGGGAGTATTTGATACAGATATTTTGACTTATCCCCAGCTGGAAAAAGATGAAGTTCATAATTTGGAGAAAAATGTTTCATCAGTGAAAAAATTGATGAAACAGAATCATATGATGAATTGTAATTCCTTGCAGAAGAACTTCAGACAAAATCTGTATGACCACAAAGCTATAGGTTTGCAAGCTCTCCAAATCATGGACGGAATGGAGTGCAATATTACTGAGAGTTTAGCATTCTTGGAGGCATTATCAGAACATTCTTTAGCATTCAGTATAGTTAATAATGAACAGTTAGGCGTGCAAAGTTTAGTGAAATATGGTAGTGATTATCTGAAAAAGAAATATCTTGTTCCTGCCATGAAAGGTGAGAGCCTAACAGCTTTCTGTATATCTGAAGCCGCAGTAATGGATATTAGTAATTTTCAAACAAAAGCAGAACTATCTCAAGATGGAAAACTTTGGGTAAGTAATATAAATGATACAAAAGTTGATTCACAGATTAGAAAGTAATGTATATACAATAAGTAATAATATTATTCAATTTTCAGTAAATATCACACAATAATAAAGACCAAATAAAAGTAATACACATTCAACTTATTGAACACCTTGACTGCGTTACATATCCCAGGCAATATGAATAACATCTCTGGGAGACGTAAGCCATTTATTCAGGTAATAGCTGCAGCTTGCTCGAAAATTGTGAATTTGTGCCCCCTCCTGGATTTCCATATTGAGGTAGGAAATCACAATCCCGTTCAATATCTATCTCTCCTCGAAAATTAGTTCAACCTTATATTCACAGCCGTATTTACAGTCCATTATTTTATCTTAGGTCTTAGGACCTCTGTTTTTATTCTCTTGGTAAATACTACTGTGGTCGAGTTCATTGAGTATATGTAGAGCCCTTTTTCATTAGTCCATGCGGTTTTAGTATTCAGGACCTGCTGAATGTGTCCCTTAATTATATTATTATATTTGCCCTGGACTAGAATGACTCGGACATCTATGTAGCCTAGTACTTTATTTCCATTGTGGTTCAGGAGTCGTAGTAATTCATTTATAAAACAGTTCCATAACAGTAGGAAAAAACTTTCTCTCAGGACATCCTACTGCTATATGAACCACTACTGTCTATTCATCAGCAGCACACAATTCATCTCCATGACAGCTGGATGATTGATTCAAGTGTGCCGCACTTTCTTGTTATTTTAAGCATATTCTGCTTCTTCTGTGGCCCGACTTGAAGCCGTCAACATAATAATGATAATAATAGCATTTATTGCCCAACATATTGTACAACCCCCTTACAGAATAACAAAATTTAAAAAAAAATCTACTACAAAAATATATAACTACAAGTACAGTGGATAAAAAAAGCAAGTGAAATATTGCAGATTTCACATTACATATTTAATTTGCTTCAAGCTTTATCAGAATAAATTACAAGAGTTACAAATTTTGTTAAAATTATACATATTATGCTTATTAGTAATTTCATAAGGACATTTGTTCTTGTTCGGGAACCATGAAAAGTTGAATTGTTTATGCCTGCAAATTGTAGTACCTTAATAGGGATAGTCAAGAAAATTATAAACCAATTTATGGAGGGAGGCATGAAATAGACCCTAAGCATATTCCAAACCCCAAGTTCTCAAAGTAGGATCTGTCTATCATCAACTGGTAATCTGTTTTTTACTGAGGATATATACCATCAGCTCTAAAATTAAATATTTGAGAACTTTTTCTGTATGTTTTCGATCCTAATAATGTATGAAGCATAGTGAGGACTCCATATGGTAGAACAATATTCTAACTTATATAACTAAAAAGATATAAATTCTTCAAAGCAACAATTTAGTAAAATTTCTGCAATTGTGCACCATAAAACCATACATTGTAGATGCCTCTGGAAGTTCAAGATGAATGTGCTGAAGAAAACTCAGTTCAGAATCAAAGACAACTACCAGATCTTTCATGCAAGTATCTTGTAATAAAGCAGTTCCATTCAGATTATATGAGAATTCAAAGATTTTTTTGGAATATGTTACAATTTTACATTTAGATATGTTGAGTAATAAATTATTAGCCAAGCATCAACTATGTACCACACTCAGGTTATTTTAAAGTTGCTTACAATCAGTTGAGTGTTATATCAATAGCCTCAGTTTTAAGTCATCTGCATATAGCAACATTCTAGTATCTTAATCGTCAACTAAATCATTAACAAACAATGAAAAAGTAAAGGCCGTATAATGGAGCCTCAAGGAACTCCAGAAGATGATTCATAGGGATTGAAATGATGACATACTTTATCTTTAAGGTGATTGACGTTGATGCAGTGTTCTGGTAGACAGAGTTGTCCCTGATATCCCTATCAAGTAGTTTTTCTAATGTCTTTGATGCAAAGATTTTTTTTGAATATGTTACAGTTTCACATTTAGATACTTTTTTTTTTTTCTGATTGATTCGGCCGTTACTTGATGAAGATCCATAGTAATTTCACAAACTATACTTAAACGATTTGATCTCCACTAACTTTATTGAAAATAATCATAACATGTTTCGCTAAAACATTAGCTTTTTCAAATGATTAATACATCCAAGCATCCTTACATTCAAATCGAGCAGGTATGTGATGTAGAGATTCAGGTAATTTCTTACAGGTAGTCTCGATTGTGGTTACCTGTAGTATATAAATATGAATGTAAGGATGCTTGGATGTATTAATCATTTGAAAAAGCTAATGTTTTAGCGAAACATGTTATGATTATTTTCAATAAAGTTAGTGGAGATCAAATCGTTTAAGTATAGTTTGTGAAACATTTAGATACATTATAAATTATTAGCCAAGCATCAACTATGTACCACACTCAGGTTATTTTAAAGTTGCTTACAATTAGTTGAGTGCTATATCGATAGACTAAGTTTCAATTCACATATAGCAACATTCTAGTATCTCAATCGTCAACTAAATCATTAACAAACAATGAAAAAGTAGAGGTCATATAACTCCAGAAGGTGATGCATATGGATTGAAATGATGACATTAGTACTTTATCTGTAAGGTTATTGGCCTTGATGCAGTGGTCTGGTAGACAGTGCTATGTCTCTGATATCCCTCTCAAGTAGTTTTTCTAATGTCTTTGACGCAAAAGACATGAGACTGATTAGGTCTCAAGGCCGTGGCCATGTCATATCCGGTTTTCCCAGGCTTTGGAATGAGGGTGGTTCTACTCATCCCCTATGTTTTTTGTATGTATTCCAGAACCAATAGTGCCCTAAGAATTACATACAACTTCTTAAGTGAAATATATGATCGTTTTTGCAGCATTAATGGGTAAATGCTATCTGGTCTCAGCGACTTATGAGGTTGGAATGAGTTCATTGCTCATTGCTCTACAACTTTTTTGCCACTAGAACAGAATGAATGCCTTTTTAGTGGCCTCCAGTTCTGAATATATCCAGGACTCCGGAATTAGATTTGTTATCTCTGACCCGGGGAAGTCCACCCTGAGAAGCTTTCTTTTAGTCTCTTCTCCTGTTTTTGTGTACTCCTTACTGTTGGTTTTTAGATTATTTATTGAGATCAGAGATCTCTTGGAAAGTATCTTATAGAGTTTGTCGCATACTTGGGTCAGTTCCACCTCTTCGTATTGCCCTCTTTATGAGTCTCTCTTAGATTTTCTCGAGGCTTTGTTGTCTTCAGTTAGTAATATTTTGTATTGATCCCAGAAAGGTGAGTTCCTTGTCCTTTTAAAGATTTTTCTAGTTTTAAGTGCTGTGCCAGATATTCATTCCACCAGGATACGTTCCTGTTTGATCTCTGGTTGACATTTGGACAATGTTCGTTATGTGTATAGATAATATATACCATTTGCCAAACATAAATGATATCGAAGTCAAATATTTCGAAATTTTTGAATTCACCTTCAGGATATGCAAACATTTTAGGTGCGAGACCATTAAAATAATTTTCTGCTCACATGTGTAGAATATTGTTTGTTTGTTCTGTTGTCCAATCTTCACAATATGACTGCTTAGTTAAGCAAATTATTTATATACGGACTTGCCCATTCTTCAATAAACATATAAAAAGTGTGAGAGAAGAATAAACAATTGAACAATAATATAGAATATCAAGAATATTAAATATCAATTAATAATTAATAATAATCAGCAGTTTCTCATTGTAGGTCAATACTTGCAACCTTATTTTTATAAATATATGAGGATGAATTGAATAAATCAATAAAGATGCTATTGTTATTTGCTAGCTCAAGTATTCTAGTAATTGGATTCATTTAAGCCATAGCTAGTAGAATGGTTAGGAACTTTAAACAACTTCGACAATTGGGTTCTTCTTGAATTTACATTAAAGTCAATCAGTTGTGTCACACATGGACAGTTCATATCATCATTTATAACTTAATGAAGAAGTCTTAAATCAATTTCAGCTCGACAGTGCTCTAAAAGTAGCAAAATATCAAAGTACTCATAATCTGATATCCGAGCTTAAATGCACATGATCTCAGAAGTGTGTTTTGTACTTTCTTAATCCTAGATCTATCTGCCTGATATAGAGGACTCCATATCACGCAATTACTTTCCAATTGAACGTGTACAAGAAAAGTTTTTGATATGTTTTGCTGTTGAACTTGGTGTTGCCAGATATCAATATGAATAATATGAAATAAAAATAAATCTGAATATCAACTCGTTGTCACATATCTACAAAATTAGTATCAGCATTGCTTTGGCTCCGAACGGGTGCAATGGTGAGATAATATTAAATATACATATAAGCGCGGCTATTGACGCGCTATTTGTAGGCACGCGCCGCCGACCTGTACCACCGCAACCGCTATGTCCCTTCATTTCAAATCTATCTATACTAATATAAGTCGGAAAAATTCTTGCCCCCTGAGAGCTCTCTTGGCGTGCGCTGCCTATACCGTTGGAGTTACATGCAGATAATGTACCGTAAGATTGTATATCTTGAATAGTTCTTAATAAAAATCCGCGATAGCACATATCTACCTCTTATGTGGAAGCCACTATATGCAAAATACTGAGCCATTAATACAATTGAATTGGATAGTTTTTTTACAATGCACATTTCAGAATATCTGTCAAATTTGAATTGAAGGGGTTATATTTTTAGGAGTGATTAATTTTTTGGGAAAGAAAGTTTTTGGCTTTCTACTACTCCATCTGATACAAAAAAGGGGATGAGAGAATCTTCCGAAGAAAGTAATCAATTTGAAACTCTATACATGAATGTGTAGATCATGCAAAGAAGTAACTTTCTCACAAACTGAAAGAAAATCCTCCTGAAACAGCTACTTTCATATAAACATTGAATTACACGAAAGAAAATAATTCTTTCGAAACAAATACTTCTATATGAACACTGAATTATACAGAAGATACTTTTCTCTACTCAGATGGTATTTCAAACATTTGTTGTGGAATAAGAATCAGATATCATTCACATGCGTTCTACTTTGAATGAATGGTAATAAATTGTACTCACATAGAACACTGTCACCCTCACTGGTATACACCAATGTTTCGCCTTAAGACACTTGCCCTAAGGCTCTTCAGTACCAAATTGGATTGGATAACATTATAGAAAATACACACACTTCATTCATGAATTACGATTTTGAATGTCACGGAATAAGCTTGATCTGGTTATGTCATCGATGACATCGTAATGACATTCATTCACCTATTTGATTTAATCCCAGCCAAGAGGAATCTTATTTGAATTGAAGGGGTTATATTTTTAGGAGTGATTAATTTTTTTGGTAAAGAAAGTTTTTGGCTTTCTACTATTCCATCTGATACAAAAAAAGGGATGAGAGAATCTTCCAAAGAAAGGAAAAAAGTAATCAATTTGAAATTCTATACATTTGTTGTACTGTGACGAGAAAACTTTTAAATAATATGATCAAAGATATACTTGAGAAGTCAGATGAAAAGAATTTACTTCACAAAACAGATGCAGTTCAAGAAAAAATTGGCCAGGTAAGTTCTTGACATTCTTAAGTATTTCAAACATATTTCATATTGTACAATACTCAGTATTACATTCAAACTGAATCTCGCCCTAACTGCATAAACAAAATATGATTTATTTTTTATTTATATTTATTTTCTTTCGTGTAATTCAATGTTTCTATGAAAGTAGCTGTTTCAGGAGGACTTTCTTTCAGTTTGTGACTGAAAGTTACTTCTTTGCATGATCTACACATTCATGTATAGAGTTTCAAACTGATTACTTCCTTCCTTTCTTTGGAAGATTCTCTCATCCCTTTTTTTGTATCAGATGGAGTATCTGTCAAATTCTTATAAAAATGATACAATGATCGGTTTAAGTATTTAATATAGATAAACTTTGTCTTTCACACTAAGTAATCATCATGTACGAATCATTTAAAAGTTATCGCGATAAGAATAACTTGACGCAACGCAGCAAGCCATTACGCGTCGCGTCTACTATAAGACGATGACGGACGATGCGCGGGTGTAGAGGCGCGGTCTAAGCAATAAAGCGCTAGAACGTGGGCAGACGTCGTTGACGGTTGTGTTAGTTTTGAGAATTTCAGTATAGGTAACATAATTCTAATGATCTGACACCATATCATCTGTTTTTGTGTTTATCAGCCTTGGGAGTTCAACAATACAGCATATTCTCAATTCCATATTTTTCATCTTATCATTACATTGTCAAATCTTCAAATGGATTGAACTATTTCATTTTAGATTTTGAATGGTCACAAAACCTGGGTCATTAATGGAGTTTCTGCAGACATATTGATAGTGTTTGCAATAACTGATGTTGTAAAACGAGACACTTTTGAGGAAACAAGATTGAGTGCATTCATTGTTGAGAAAGACTTTCAGGGAGTTTCGGTTGGAAGCAATCACCAAACTGCTGGGATAGAAGCAACTGATATCACTTTTACTGATACCCCTGTTCCAGTTGGTATGCCTGGTGAGTAAAAGAGTGTAACTATTCAACAGGTATATATTTTCAGAAAATGTTATTGGTGAAGTGAATAAAGCCCAGGAATTGCTACCTTCTCTCATTAACGAATATAGATTGAGTATAAGTTCCATTTGTTGTACTGTGACGAGAAAACTTTTAAATAATATGATCAAAGATATACTTGAGAAGTCAGATGAAAAGAATTTACTTCACAAAACAGATGCAGTTCAAGAAAAAATTGGCCAGGTAAGTTCTTGACATTCTTAAGTATTTCAAACACATTTGTCTGACAATGTGGGTTTAAATGGAAGAGCAGATGTTTGTTAACTGTTGAATCATTTTTCATATTATACAATACTCAGTATTACATATAAACTGAATCTCGCCCTAACTGCAAAAACCAAATATGATTTATTTTTTATTAATTTGTTATAAAGACATTTATTATTATTATTATTAATGTCAGAATTGCCACAAATTTTGGCAATATTGAAATATGGAATGTAAAAGTAATGAAAAAAATAATTATTGAAGTTACTCATAATATTATAATTACTAATTTTATGATTTTTGTTATAGTTAGTTAAAGTTCGTTTTACACTATGTCCAATAATATTATTTTTTCAGGTGACTACTTCACTCTACGCTATGGAAAGTATCTCTTATTTGACTGCAGGACTCATTGACAATTATGAGAATCAAGATTGTGAAATGGAGTGTGCAATTGCTAAGGTTTGTTGAATAATTTCACCTGAACCGTATTTCTGAGTGGATACATTTTTCATGAATATTATGCTGTCCTAAAATACGTTAAAAATTGTTTATATTTAATATAAAGTACAAATATCAAATATTTATTAATGATGACGAGTACATTTTTCAGTACTGTTACAATTAAACATTTTCATTGTCATATTTTTTGACGATTTACCAATTTTTTGAGTTCAATTGTTTTATCATAAAAAATCCATTAATTAAAAGGCTTCTGGTTTCAGATATTTGCCACAGAGAATACAATGAAAACTTCACTAACATGCTTGGATCTCATTGGAACATTAGCTGCTTCTGAAACACACTGGGCTAATATCCTTCACAAGGAAACTCTTCTTTTATCAATATTGCATGAAAGTAGTGATAATTTGAAGATTATCACTTCTTTATTAGGACTTCAATATGCAGGGGTAAGTGAACGAAAAACCAAGAGAAAAATAATACACTCGTCCAATTCTATTCAGCTTGGTTCAAATAATCCCCAAGTATTATTCTGATTCTTTTACTTTTTTTTTTATTTCTTTTTAAGATTCAGTTATGATTTTCAAGTCATTAATTCAATCAGGCAATTTGTTAAACAACTTCATTGCCTTGTAGTGAGGTGTTTTTTCAGTTATCGTTATGTTGGGATTACAGCCTATAGGGACATCCAAATGACAATCAAATTCAAAAGAGTACTTCAATAAACTTCAAAATCAACGGTTACAGTGGTTATGTTAGTAATTACATAAAAGGTAAAATACTGCCATGCCAAGCCTAATTGGTTTTTATGTACGACACATCACGTGACATCGAGAGATACAAAATAGTACATAGTTCTAAATTATTGTTCTACTTCATTTGAATAAATGAAAGATAGACGGAAGTAGTCGAGTGAGGTGTCATGATTGATTATGAAGTTTTATTCAACATGCCACATGTCTATATAAAATAATATAAATTAAAGAAAAGCCTTTATTGGATGATATAGAATATTATGGATACTAACTTATGACCCTATACATGTGTAACATTTTAGGACGATTTTAATAACGATGCTGTTACATAAATAACAGATTATTTTAGTTGACTATTATATATTATATTATTCATGTGAATTGTATATTGTGCCTCTAAGTGCACAGAGTTTGTATTTTTAATTTTATATCTGTACACGTTTTGACATACTCAATGTCGTCTATAGATGATCCAATTGAATAAATGTTATTATTATTATTATTTATTCAGATAACTCATACGGCTGGCTAGCATTGCAATTCATAACAATCAACTTGTCTATAGGCAGCATGAAGTCATTTATTCTTGTTCAGTAGGTATGTTGAGGGGTGTTGAAGAATAGATGTCTGTTTTTTTTTAAAGAAACATAAGTTTTCATAAGTATAAAGAGAATATAGTCATTATTCCGTTATTCTTGAAAAAAGATCTACATGATCTCAAATTATTTATCATTCTGATAGCCTTTTCGTGACTAACAGCTATTTTTTCAGTATTACTGTTGCTTCTCTGAGATATGATTCCATACCTCGCTACTGACTCAAAATGAGTGAAGTATAGAATTTTTACAACTAACTAACAAGCTAACTAATTTCGTTAGTTGAGAATACTTCTGAATACTACTTACTCACATATATATAAAATTAATCGTTTCAAAAACACTTCACTAACTTCTAAAGCTTCTGATAATTCCTTTTTCATACTTTCTGTTTCACTATCACTGTCGTCATTCAAATCAATAATGAGTTTATTTCCACCAATAATATGGAAGTGTCAAATCTCCATATAGTCTTTTTCAACTAAAATTACTTTTTGATCCTTTTCTGTCAATCTTCTTCGGTAATATTAGATACTTCTTTAATTAGCACTATTACCTTCTCATCAAATTTTGGAAAATTATTTTTACTGCTGATGCTTTGTTTCAATTTTCCCCAAATCAACTTGATGGGAATGAAAACACAAAAATAAGGGGAAGTCTCAGTATAGTGTGTCCATACTTTTCAGCAATACTCTCAAGTCGTACACTTTTTCAAATGTTTTTGTCTGTAAAACTTCAAGTAGTTGGTTTTTGGTATAGTGATCTTAAAAATACAAATTGTTATCCATTAAAAAACTTTGTATTTCATCTTTCCTCGAATTTTTATTCGGTACTTTGATGAGCTGTCATGAAGGAAGCGTTGTCAAGAACTATTACACTATTCAAATCCAAATTTAAGATCAATATGTTTTCAAACCATTTCTCGAAAATATTAGCTTCCATTTTCCTATGATAGTCAACATGGCAGTCCTGTGTTTCAATATTCAAATGCATCCGAATCTTATTCATTGGTATCTCTTTTTCGCATTGTTCACCATCGCTATTGGAATCACTACACTGGAAAAGTCTTCGTTGTTATCACACTCGTTATTACTATTAGTACTTGTTCAAGAGTGCCACATTTTAAACAGATAACAAAATTTCAAGTAATTATAACTGCACCAATGTCGAATTTCAACACTCAAATGACGATCAGTTCCTGAATTGAACACGACGGCGATAACCATCCCCGCATTCCCCGATTTCTAACATGACTTCAAATTTAATGATTCTTCAGCCAATCATAAAACTCGATTAGTAAAAATTATCCAATACGAACCGCCAAGTCTACAGTCCACGAGGACTATTTCGCTACCAGTTCATTTCTATGTATTGGTTTTTTTGGCCTTTTAGAGTGCCGCAAACTTTAAGAGTGCACAATATCGTTTACTTCGACTATACAATGAAATTTCACTATATTTGTTAGATGTGTAATCTAACAGATGCTTTCCATTCCACTAACTCAACAATATTCAGAAATTTGAGTTCACTTTATAGGTAAATGTAGATAAGCCACCAAATTAAATTGCTCACGTGATTAAAAACCTCAACTCCACTATTGAGTTTCCGATGTTGATTTGCATAACATTGAAACACAATGTCAACTGAATGATAGATAATTTTAAACCGATGCCCATACACCCCTTCGGCTCCAAACAAATATAACAAAAATCCATTATCCATGATAATAGTTAAACAATTTTCCCAAACATATTTTCTGTTCTAGACATGTTTCGCTAACACTGTTATTCATCGGTAGCTAATGTCAAAAAAGACATTGAGTTACATTCAATCCAAAATGAAAATATGCGATTTGGAGGAAATTGCCACATCATCATTAGCTAATTTCAATGCAAATGCTTGTAAAGTGCCTGTCTACAATTCTTGTAACAATCGGTCTTGGATCCCCAAGTTACTTCATTTGCTGATTACAAATACGTCCGTGGGAGTGTAAAAACTCGATACTAGAACAACAACAAGGATTTGTAATGGAAAGATTAACTGAGACGAGTAGGTAATTTGATGATATATTTAGATCATCTTCTAGATGTTCTCAACTTCGGTCCTGTTGATGTAACGTTGGTTGGTCCAGACCAACATCATTCTGGTGATGCCTTTGGGAAGATAAATCAATGATATATTTTGATACACTGAATATTCTTAGAGATATTTCTCATCAGAGTAGGTTAACTACATAGGGACCACAAAGGGACCTTTCTATGTAAGGTCTCAAACAGCCACGATCCATAGCCCTCTTACTAGAATTGTACATAGTGCATAATAGTGGGTTCACATATTTAGTTATTAAACATCCTACCTTTAAGAGGCAGGTATATTTCATTAGTAAACTGTGAACCTTGTGAACTGTTTCCATCAGTCGAAAACTCGTTTTGTAAAATGATATTTTAAATAAATGAATAAACTCTCCTAAGAATCAGTCCTATGGGTTAATGATTACACCAACGTTGTAAATGTAAAAAGTCACTGTGAATGACTGATAACTGAATGAAATGTCATTACAGATGTATGTAGGTCATCTAAAAGAACAATTCGTTCAAGCCAGTCTCAACTCCCTACACTGTAGGTTAATGGACTGACACCTATCAAAAAATAACTACTCCCGTGGCTAATACCACTAAGGGCGTTGGATTATATCTGACAGATGTCAGTGCAGGATTCTTCACTGAAGTTATTCCTGCATATGCTGTTGGCAATACAACTACCGCAATAGGTTTTCAATTATTGAAACACACTTGCAGGCAGGTTTCGGGCTGTTTGGCTATTCGGAAGTGCAAGGTAGTAAAGTCGATGATTTCCGATAATTGAAAATGGAATTCCTTCAGAGTATCATTCCTCGAACTAAGCTGAAGCATACAACAAATAACAGGTTTGTCGTCGCCCCATCTGCCTGTGAACGAGGTAACCAACTGCATATCCGAAATTTTCGGATATGCAGTTATGTTGATATTCCTTTAAATGACTGCTAAGATTTTTCTGTAATATATTATATTTTGCATAACCAAAACTATTGGTATATGAGTGCACTACTAACTGTAATATAACTAAAATAAATATCAATTTCAGGTTACTCTGAATGAAAGAATTGGTAAAATTCGAAATCCTCTTTTTTATGCTGGATTCACTTTAGCAAAAATGTGGTCTGATCGAAGAAATGTGAATGACGATCCCAAACTTGACTTGAAATTAGGAGAATATTTACATCCTTCAACAATGAGTTCTTCTCAGAATTTGGAGTAAGTACATAGCTTTCAATTCTTTACTCTTATATATTACCAAAAGTATGAAGTATTTGTCAAAATATGTTCCTTTTAAAATTTTGTTAGAATACCATTTGCCATTTAATAAAATAAAAAAAAATCAAAAGTTCACTTATTGTGAAAGATCATTCTGTATCAAATCAGCACACCTATCAACCCTTGCTGCTTTAGATTTTGATGAAACTTGGCCCATGTGTACATTTTTTCATTTAGACTGAGGAATATATAAAGTTTAAATTTTTTAAAGTGACTAATTTTTGTGTTTTCCTATTATGATACTCTATAAAGAACACTAATATCGATCTGCAGTTGCTCATGTCCTAGTTTCTATTTTTAATACCCTTTCATAATATGCAACACTGGAGTTTTAAAGAAGTTTTTGCAGTTTTTAAAAGAAGCACTGATTTTGAATTTCTGAAGTCACATTTTAAGAAAATTAAAAAGTTTTCGGAAGTAGTCTTTTCTATGGACAAGTTTCAAACATATTGAAAACCTGAAAATCAAGGGATAAAACAAGAAAAGTAAACACATATAAACACATATGAAATATTCTAACTTGTACAATACTCAGTATTACATTCAAACTGAATCTCGCCCTAACTGCATAAACAAAATATGATTTATTTTTTATTTATATTTATTTTCTTTCGTGTAATTCAATGTTTCTATGAAAGTAGCTGTTTCAGGAGGACTTTCTTTCAGTTTGTGACTGAAAGTTACTTCTTTGCATGATCTACACATTCATGTATAGAGTTTCAAACTGATTACTTCCTTCCTTTCTTTGGAAGATTCTCTCATCCCTTTTTTTGTATCAGATGGAGTATCTGTCAAATTCTTATAAAAATGATACAATGATCGGTTTAAGTATTTAATATAGATAAACTTTGTCTTTCACACTAAGTAATCATCATGTACGAATCATTTAAAAGTTATCGCGATAAGAATAACTTGACGCAACGCAGCAAGCCATTACGCGTCGCGTCTACTATAAGACGATGACGGACGATGCGCGGGTGTAGAGGCGCGGTCTAAGCAATAAAGCGCTAGAACGTGGGCAGACGTCGTTGACGGTTGTGTTAGTTTTGAGAATTTCAGTATAGGTAACATAATTCTAATGATCTGACACCATATCATCTGTTTTTGTGTTTATCAGCCTTGGGAGTTCAACAATACAGCATATTCTCAATTCCATATTTTTCATCTTATCATTACATTGTCAAATCTTCAAATGGATTGAACTATTTCATTTTAGATTTTGAATGGTCACAAAACCTGGGTCATTAATGGAGTTTCTGCAGACATATTGATAGTGTTTGCAATAACTGATGTTGTAAAACGAGACACTTTTGAGGAAACAAGATTGAGTGCATTCATTGTTGAGAAAGACTTTCAGGGAGTTTCGGTTGGAAGCAATCACCAAACTGCTGGGATAGAAGCAACTGATATCACTTTTACTGATACCCCTGTTCCAGTTGGTATGCCTGGTGAGTAAAAGAGTGTAACTATTCAACAGGTATATATTTTCAGAAAATGTTATTGGTGAAGTGAATAAAGCCCAGGAATTGCTACCTTCTCTCATTAACGAATATAGATTGAGTATAAGTTCCATTTGTTGTACTGTGACGAGAAAACTTTTAAATAATATGATCAAAGATATACTTGAGAAGTCAGATGAAAAGAATTTACTTCACAAAACAGATGCAGTTCAAGAAAAAATTGGCCAGGTAAGTTCTTGACATTCTTAAGTATTTCAAACAACTGCATGAATATTATAATAGTGGTCTGCTAGGTTGAAATGTTTATCTATTTCGAACCTTCCAAAGAGTTTCTTGCTTCCGTTAGAGGTTGAGTCTTGTTTGAAAATCATCAGTATTATTATTAGATTAACTGGAGCCTCAGCTATACTTGTTTCCTTATAACAGTCAGTTAGTTTGGCGCACGTTTGACAATACAGTCAATCATCACCTGTTAAAAATTCCATTTTTAGATGATTTAACAATAAGCTTTGCTCGGACTGGTTATTAGTAATATTAGGAAAAGCTAGATGAAGTTCCAGAAATTCACATAAGTTTTCGGTACTTCTTGAATATTAACCCTAAAGTAAACAAGTGAGGATTTTTCCAGCAAAAGATTTACAAACACAAGACGAGATGGGCTGTACGGAATCATTCATCCAGAGCGGTCAGGAGTATTGATTTTGCTATTGTTTTGCTCACGAAGAGTATTCAACAAGAACCATAAGAATTCGGAACAATCCTCTTGTTGTCCTAACGAGTATCTAGTGTTATCTAGAATTTTGTATTTATTAACTTTGAAATATAAGATAGTGTTGGCCGATACTTGTTTTTCAAAATACATTATCATAGATTTTCATCACATTCACACTTTATTGTGAGATAATTAATGACCTAGTCATTAAACTCAGGTATAAATGTTCGTTAAACTCAGGTATAACTCTCGTTAATTAGTTTCTAGAATATTAGTTTCTAGGTAGATAGTAATATTTCAAAAGTATATATAAATCACAATGTATGTAGAATTCAGTTTGTTGGTGAACACACTTGAAAAAGCTACTGTGCAGCGAAACACGTGTTGCGGATTTGTTAATCTGTTCTAGTAAAAATCTCACAATAAAGTGTTTTTCAATATACATCAACTTTAAAATAGTTTTTGAGGTAAGTAAACAACTGACAAATAGCCGAATAATGTCATTGAATTTTATTATTTTTATAGTATAAAGATGGATGCCGTAGCAGGTCCAAGTAATGTACAAAGGAAGCGGAAGTTTATGTCATTAGAAGAAAAACAAAAGCGTGTGTTCCGCTACTGCCGATTTGTCTATTTGGCCTAATCTATAGTTTCTCCAATGTTAACTCAGCCTTGTACCCATGGGTTTTTTAGTGGTACCGATATAAACTTTTCCACAGATTCATGGTATACGATATACCCCCGTAGCTAATAGTGGATCTCTTTTGTCTTTCGCAGATCTAAGGCTTTGTTGTATTTTCCTAGTGGGCTTGAACACTGTTTTTATTTTATGCTCCCTTAAGGTTTTTCCGATTCTGTCTATAACACTAGATATGTACGGTAGAAATGCACGTGCAACCGTTTGAGATTCTCCCTATTTTGACTTGTGGAGGTCTTCAGTTTCATGTGAAACTACTTGCCCCCGATCATGGATACCCTAGAAATTATACGGGAAGCCATAGAAATTCACAAACATACGGAAAACTACAACAGAAAAGAGGAGGCGGTAACGCTTAACCGGATTTGGAATCATATACTAGAAAATGATAAAGTGGCAACAGCGCAATGCAATGTTACGTCATTAACAGGTAATAACACTTTGGCCAATAGCAACGCATCAAGATGAATAAACCTCTGAAAAAGCCAGCCATTCGTGCTAGCGAAACTACGGCGGCCTTCAAACCCAATTGAAGATAGTGGCACTGAAAATCTCGGCCGCGAAAGCCTTAACCAATTTATCTTTGCAAAGATGCGTAGATCATGAAAAGAAGTAACTTTTAGATACAAACTGGAAAAATGTGAGTTTGAATGAGGCATTAAGGAGTGCTACTTCATTCTTTACTAGTGCCCATATTTTTTTCTATTGGGTTCAGCTTCGAATGGTATAGTGGTAGGCAGTAGTGGTTGACAGGCTAGAAGTGTATCAACAATTCATATTTTATAAGCTGGATTATGCTTTTTAATTAATGCATATAGTTCAGCTTTCAAAGCATTGGCGAGGATCAAAGATTGGACTAGGATCAACCTGAACATTGTAGTTATTCTTAACTTAAATGCATTTTTGGACCATTTTAGATTAAATCATCTCTTAATCATTGTGTAAAATTTGAATTCATTTCATCATGGTAGTCGCCGGTTTTACTTCTCGTAAATTGTTTCACGGATGAAAGTATGAAAATCATAGATGTATAAACTGAAAAGCAAAAAACCTAAAATAGATCCCTGTGGTACAACTATGGTGGAGAGAAAGAACTTGAAAGTGTCTAAAGTTACACTTTGACTGCGGTTACATAAATAATTATTTACCGGGGAAATAGAACAGTTAGAGAAGACAACAGGCGATACGGCAACAGTGGAAGTGCTCTATCTTGCTGCGATGCACAAACTGAAAATAGTCCTGGAGCGTTTGTACTTATAACTTATAATAGGACTAGGTGTCAGATGACCGACTGCTCTTGTACTTGCTCTTGTGGAGGATTGGTCCAACTCTTCTTCAATTACTGGGGCCCACTGTGCCATCTATTCGCTAATACATCCAGAAAAGCGATTCTCCCTTCCTCTTCTTCCTCCATTGTGAACTGGACTTTCGGATTTCAAGAATTCACAAATGTCCCAGAAATGTTGCCACTTCCTCTTTCCCTTGACTTCAAACCACGAAGGTATTATCAACATATCGTAGCCAGCAGGAGGGTTGGACCGGTGAATGTTCTAGAGCTCATCGTTCTAATAGTTCCATGTAGAGTTTGGAAATCAGTGGACTTAGTGGTCTTCAGATTGCAACTCCGTCTTTCTGCTCATAAAATTTTTCATCTCACTGAAAGTATATTGCAGTGTTCAAGAGAATTCAATTTCAAATCGCGAATCTTCTGAATAAAGTGAGCTGAGTCTCTGATGAATGAGTTTGTTTTTCCCACCACTGGCTGTAGCAGACTCGATAAGTACTTGGCTATGTGTCAGAGACCCTATGGCACTGATGATCGGCCTTAGTGGGACATGCGGCTTGTGAATTTTCAGTAGCCCATATAAACGAGGTGGTAATGTATCTTTTCTCATCGTGGTTAATAGATGATCCACAAATTAGTTGGTTAATCTTTCTCAAGACGTGGTTAGTCGGATCTCCCTTGAGCACGTTGTATGTGTTGGGGTCAAGTAGATCAACTATCTTTTTTCCATAGTCGTGCTCGTTCATCACAACAGTGGCATTTTCTTTGTCAGCACATAAGATCAAGATATTCCCATCATTATTATTAAGATATCTCAAGGCCGCTCTTTCTGTACGTGTCGTGTTGGGTCTAGGTATTTTTGCTCGTGTCAGGATCCTCGTTGTCTTAATGTGGATTTCCTCTGCAACCGCGGTTGGTAACCCGCGGATTCCTGCAGAATTGCAGATCACGGCTAATAAACCCGGAAACGTCGGTCAATTTGTTCTTACAATTCTCAGGGTTTTATATAACCTTACACAATCTTGAAAATGAACACAGATAAATCATTAGAGAATAAGCTGAAGGATAACAATCCTCCAATACTCCTGATCTCGTTGGTTAACTTAATAATCCAAGATCAAGCTGCCAGATTACTACATTCAATAATCTGACGATTTCGATCTGACGCAAACTCGCGGCCATTATTATAATGTGCAAAAAAATTCGCCATTTTGAAATACTCAAGCGCGTCAGATTAAGATATATATGGTTCATATTTATGTTTTAGACATGCTGTCTCATAATCTGACGATTATCTAGAGGGATTCGCTTAATCTGACAAAAACAATATTTTTTTTTAATTCATTGTAAGTACTTAATTTATTGAAAAGCTCAGGAAATAGCATGCAAATAAATAAGTGTATGTTTTTTAAGTAGAATACTTGTATTTATAAGAAAATAAGTTTAAAAAAATGCTCAAAAAAATGAATTTGTTATAATCAATTGATTGATTATTGAAGAAAAGAGAAATTAAACTTTCTATGTTTTTACCACTTTTATTTGTAACTAACGTTACTGCAGTTGACTCCTATAAGGACATTTTCAAACTTATACAATATATATATGTCCTTATAGAACAAAACTGCAGTAACGTTAGTTACAAATAAAAGTGGTAAAAAAAATAGAAAGTTTCATTTCTCTTTTCTTCATTATGATTTCCTATCACCTATTAATGGCTACATCCATCAATTAATTGATTAATTAATCATCATCTTCATCACGAACGAATCTCTGTGATGAGCTGTGATGGCGTCATGGCAACAGAATTCAGAGTGGGGACGGAGTGAGAGAGTAATATAGATAGAGAAAAAGTGAATAGAGAAATAGAAACTCGGAGAGGGAAATATAGGTATCACACAGCTGCACGCATTAAACTTTGTCGACGAATTTTTGTTATTTCGGCTTGCGGAAATCGTCAGATTATATATTTTTCGTTATCCTTGAATTATTTCCTTCAAAATAAAAAAAAAATGCTGCGCTCGAGAATGTCGAAATGACGTTATTTTTTTACAACTTCCCTCCCCTTTCTTTACGTCACTATCAAATTGTCAGATTACTGGAATATACACTTTTTAGCAGGTAATTAACTCACCCTACCTTAATCTGACGCGCTCGAGAATTTCTGATGATCAATTTTTTTTACTAATCTGATCCTTTATCCCTCACAGGCGGCCTTATATATGGGGCTCATATTTGGTGGAGGTACTTAACCGGGTACAAGGTATCCCCCTGTATATTAATCTGCCACGCTTTAGTAAATCCCGAAATCCCCGCTTGGGCTCCCCTGTTATTATAAAATGAATCCTGATTTTAATTAAGTAGATTGTATTTGCTGCCACACAGAGTTTAAATACATGTATCAACTCTGAAACTTGAGCTCCACGAGCCAGTTTAAAAAAATATGTAGGATTTTTCATACTGGTGCCATAGCTCTAGATAAAAAAACAAAGATTGTCATTTTCGAGACATGATTTCCTAGCACTTCCAGGAACTATTTTATTTCTTTCTTTATGTTTTGCTAACATAATGTCATTTCCGTCAAAAATACATGTTTCCTCGCTCCAAGCAAAAAGTGTGAATATGAGCCGCAAGACTTCCAGTTACGTTTTATTGGTAATTTCAACAAGATAACAATAGCATAGCCATAGCTATGCTATTACATCTTCTGGTTTTATTACAAGTTGATGTCCCTGCTTTTTCAATTATTTTTGGATTTTAAGTATTTCTAAAAAGTTTTCAATCAATTACTTCTATGGATTTTTTATTATCTCGGCATTGACTAATCATTTCGTACATTTTGAAATCTTGTGTTTCTAAATATTGAAGAGCACGATTGATTGGTTGATTGATTGAAATGAGAATTATCCCATGCGCATCCCAAAAAACCGATGTCGTGACCTTGCCTGCAGATGAAACGGTTTTCGCCTTCTTTGAAGCTGCTTCTCCCTTTTGAGTCCACTGTTTTGATTGGTCTTTTGTCTCGGGTGTAAAGTGATGGACACCCATGTGTGCAAGAATTCTTTATTGCTGTGAAACGTCGCTAATCATTCAATTGAAACATCTTAACGGAACTGTTTTTGCTCGAGTGTGAGCAAACGCGGCACCCATCTTGCACACAGCTTTTTCAAGCGTTGCTCATCTTGGCAGCTCGTACGTTTACTGTTGTAAACGAAGGAGCACTCACCCAGAGAAGAATCCATGATGATGACCAATTTTCTCATTTTTCAGCGTCTTCAAACTTGAAACATATGCTTTATAGATTGTGTACTTTCTAATGCAGTAATATTTTTTAAACAACTACCGCCATCTCTAGGTCAGGCTGGGTACTTCTAGGACCACCCTGGTACTGAGGTACAAGAAATAAAATTATAATTTTTGTAGTAACTGCTTTTTCTCTGAATATTTGGCGTCAATAATACGAACGTCCCATTGATATGTGTCTAGAAAGAGAGTATTTTTACAGTCACGAAAGTTATTTCCTCAAAGTTTTTTTATTTCATAAGGCACACATATGACAAATTTACAGATAATGTTTTATGTTACTGTCAATGGTTCTATAAAGATATTATGCTTGATCCATGTGAATACTTTTCAGAGAGTAAATGTTGAAATCCCGTTTATTATTTTTGTGAGAAATATGAAAAAAATTGTATACATATATCGTTTAATAACCATCGTATATTTCTTCTCAGGTATTGTGTTAAAAGATTGGAGTTTGCAGTTGAGGTTCTTCTGGCAAGGCATGGTCCCGAAATTGTTAATCAACATATGGAGCTGAGGAGACTAGCAGAAGTTATAATAGATATTTATGGCATGACAGCTTGTCTTGGTGAGTTACTTATGAGTGTCTCTGACGACCAAGAATTTCAATAACTCATAATATTTGAATTCTTCATTAAATACTTATGATTAATTGAAATTTTCTAAAATATTTTGCCAATAGGTGGTACTCTCAAATATGGACTCAAATACAAGTGGTTAGTAAATAATTAATCACCAAATACTTACTTTCATACATATTTGCTTTTGAACTGTTGAATAAGGTTGTAGAGATATATTTTGTATACCTAAACTTAAAAAAAAATTCAAACCTGTTGAAGAACAAAAAGAAAATATAAAGTGAATGTTGAAATTATTGGAAATACCGACCGAAATATTCCGATGATTTAAAACATAAATAATTTTCAAAAAATGAAAAAAAGCAATGAGCATAGTAATTCTAAAAATGTAATAATGTCAATAATTTGTTTCCTTCATAATTTAGCGTTCTTACATTTTTTTCAATTCTTATATTCATTGCTTCCTTGATTTTCAGTTTTCTAATTTTTTGATATTTTCATTTTAACTAACTCATCCGAACTCATCTGGTTATTTTTAATCATACTCTTTCACCAAGAAACAATATAAAACACTTTCGCACAAATGTTAATTCAAAATCTTCAGTCTCAAAACTTATTCCAATAACTTCCTTCCCAAATTATCACAAGTTATGAACCCCCAAAGTTATTAGATATTGACAAAAATTATATTTTTCAAATGGATTCAATGTTGTTTTTTTTTTCAAACTATGAAAAAGTTAAATATATTTTAAATAAGCCCATTTCGTGAATATCAGTGTATGATAATTATATTTGGAAATGTATCTCACTTTTCATTCATCTTTTCAAAAAAAAACATTTCAAATATTGAACACAAACATTGTTTTGAAATTCAAAATTGTATTCTAGAACATTGGTTTCACTGGGTTCGTTCCTTTTTTTTTTTCAGGTAGGGCTTCTAGATCATACTGTATCGGACTTCAACATGGAGACTATGAAATGATGATTGCTAATACATTTTGTAATTATGCTGTGGCACGTGTAAAAGAAAATGTGAAGCTGATTTATTTGGGTACATACCATACCAACGATGAAAACTATAGAGTTTTATCAAAAAGAGCATTCAAATTCAAAGAGTACTTTCCGAAACACCCTCTATCTCGGAACTTTTAAATTAATATCATTATTTATTGTAAATAATAGTTGATAAAAATGTTTTCAAAATTGTTGTTTTATTATAATTGAAGTATGACAAGTTTTATTGCTCCTATTTTTTGTGATTAATTGCTACTCTTCAAACAATATCAACCAGTCGAGGTTTTTCAAAAAACAGAATCCTAGTTGACAAAGCATAAAGTTATTATAAATGATTAGCAGTCTTTATAAACCTCATTGAGGCTTTTGACATCATATCTAATCTTTTACAAAAACGTCTATATTATGTTGGTCTTGGAACTAAACAAACAACACTTTTGGAAAAACCTAATTGTTATCAAGCAGGATACGGAAGGTTATTCTTGGTGATGTGTCACGTTTCTGGAAATTTCAACGGATGTATTCCAAAGAAGAGTGTTGGGACCAGTACTTCTCCCTGTGTACATCAACAGTGATATATCTTCTCATGCGGTATAGATAAAGCCAAGTTTACATTCCACATATCATTATCTGCCATTTTCTTTTCTCAAATTTATTTTCAAAAGATTTTTTTTTGTGTTGAACTATTCTAATAACTTCTGCTAACTTGTTCGTTTTTATCAAGATATATATTATTCGTAACCTTGAGTCGTTTTTTTTTTCGAGAGTAGATGAAAGTTTCTGGTGACGTAAGTTCTGTTGATACACATTGTTCATGAAATTATGATGCAGGAAAAACAACTGTTCTCATCCTCTTAGATTATTTAAAGGCATTTGATATGATAAACCACAAAATATTACTTTCTATTTTACATTTAATAGGTTTTTCGGACAGTTATTAGGCTTAGACTCAAGTCAAAAGTAATGGTATAACCTCAGTATAGACACGCCTGACGAAGCTATTGTATAGGAAAACACATGTTTCGTTTTAGTAAAGCTGTTTAGTGATAATCTCGCAAAGTGTTTCTTGAATACGTTATGGATCGGCCGATTCCATCACATATCTTTAGATTATTCAATATCAAATATAATGGTATGGGCTGGACTGCAAAAAATCGGTCATGAAATAGTATTGTCATGCGTTAAAATTTCAAATTGGAGCAATATGTGCGAGAGAAAGAAAGTTAGAGCGTTCGTGCGATAGAAGAGGATACAACATAGCAGCTGTGCAAGACGTGTCCGTTGGATGGACCCAGGTGCGTAGGCTCTTTTATATGCGATTCTAAAAATGTCTAAATCTGACAAAATTTAGAAAAGCCCTTGTATTTTTTTTGTTAAAAAATGGTATGATGGCGGTTAATTACTGCATCATTAACTATTGTTTACTTATAAATAAATTTATTTTATATTATTGTAACGATTATATTCGAAATTAAGTTTATTACTTCAAATTCTTTTTTGTCAGTATAAACATCTCCCTTGATCGTATGTAAAATCGTATAACAAACGGCAAACATAGTAAACAATTGCTTTTTAGTGCATACCACACTAGTTGTCTTTATTTGCTCTTGTTATTTGTTTTTCTACTAAAACAAATCAAAGGATGAAAAAGTTTCATTTTCAATTTTATCCAACACAAAATTAAATATTACAAAAAATCAGTAGCGTACATTTTTTGGTGAATAATGTTGACAAAACTGTGTCCCGAGCCTCCGCAGGACTCAACAATGTTTATCTAATCAAGGCTAAATGAACTTTTTATTACTGAAAATAAGATTACAAAATTTCGAATATGGAATATTCAAATATAAATTCATAAATGGTATTTTTTAGAAAAATGTAACACTCTGTATCTTGGAAACATTTCATTCTCAAAATCAGCTCCCGAACACACCCTTAAGTTTTTTCACCGCAATTAGGAATCACATTGTAGATTCACTGAAGTCAAAAATTATGCGAGCTAAGAATTAACGTGCGATTCTTAGCACGGGTTGGATGATACACAATGATAAGAGACCGTCCGTCGGGCAGTAACTGTTCTACATATCGGTCGAGAGTAGAATGAACCACTCATGCAAACCCAACCGACAAGCAGAGTAAAATAAAACACGTGCGCTTTCTTTCAGATTCAGCACAAGTCTAAACCTTTATTTAACATCTTGACAAATGGGCAAAAGATAGACAAGTGCAATGTTGGATAGATGGCAGTCTGTATACATAGTTTTAATTTTTCCGATACTAACACCCCACTTATTAGTAAAAATGAAATTTATGGAATCATTATTCCTAGCAATTTTTACAATTTATATTTCCCTGAAAAAACTTTTAGTGAAAATATCTGTAGGCAAATATTCAACTTTTAGAACCAGATTAAGTGACTTTGATCTTAAGAATTAATGAAATGACTAAAAAAATTTACAGTAAAAATATATATGACCTAGATAAAACAGATAAGTGCATGAGAATACCAATCTGCTCTTGGTGGGGAAATTGAGCTCTAGCACCACCCACTAGTTCCTTTTCTCAAATCCAACTTTATTTTCATAGGTGCTTCAACTCCTTTAGCATCAGACATGTTGAATTCTTTTAACAGAATTTTATAATTTTTCGACTTGAAATAATGTTATTTTTCATTAAATTCTATACATAATAATTCTAAATAAAAACAGATAAATATTAGAGATAGTCACTAACAGATGAAATACATAACAAATTAAAGGTATTAAACAGGTAGTTTATAGCATAGTAGTTAGGCCACAAGCATGTAAAAACACTAACATACTAGTAAAATGTTGTCATAGTTGTCTCCTGAGGACGCTAGCTTGGTTAGCGAAACACGCGTGGACTGTAATTTTTCTTCTAATGTTGGAAAAGTGTTTTCAATAGATTCGTTTTACGTCAGAGGCCCCGGTACGAACTATCACATAGAAATTTTCAGAAAGACCTAAGCCAAATTTGTTATGGCCTTAGAATTCTGTCACAAAGTAGTAATGATAGCACCACAAGAATAACTTCAAATTACTCATTCCGTTGGTCCAATCATGGGAAGAATCATTGCATCCATGATTACTGGAATGAAAACAGCGGTGGCGAACGTATCACCAACAGCTACAACACAAATAAATCAGTGATGCATTCCTCAGTCAAAACCCTTGGGCTTAATGTGTTGAGAAATATTGGCAACACCTGTTTCATGAACAGTGTAATCCAATAATATATTATATAGAAGACCTAGCATTCCCAGGCATCATCTAACATCACCACGTAGGCAGCTATAGCTACACATTGGTGGTTGACACCAAATGAAAATGTTTATTATGGATAAATCCATAATATACAGACGTTGATAACCAAGACATTGAAATTGATTTATTGAATGATCTTTAAAATAAATATAGACTTTAATGTGGTAAAAAATCAAATTATCAAAGTTCGGTGTGCACATGAATTTGCATGATTTTCTGCAATCTGATATAAGTCTAGAAATAACCTAATCATAACTATACAGTTTTCATAAAAATTGCATCTCTGATGTAAATGTAAGTTTGACTTGCTTTTACATTTTTCCTTTTATTTTATCGCAATATACACAGTTCCTTTTAAATACCTATTTAAAAATGCTGTTTCAACATCTAAATGATGAATATCTAGCCTTAATTCAACAGAAAGTGCAAGAAGCATAATATATGTCTTGCCCTCTTAACTCAGAGTTCCTAACATCTTCTACAGATTGTTAGTTTACTGTGGTATCCCCCACTGAACTTGCTATTTCCTGACTCAAACTTACTGGTATTTTCACTTCACTTTCGGTTTTTCTCATAATGATTACATCTCTGCTGATAGTAACTCTGTTTAAATTTTAAAGGGGTATATTTTTAGGAGAGATTAATTTATTCAGAAGATTCCAACCATCTTTTGTATAAAGATCAAGAAATAGAAAACTAAAACATTTCTTTCCTCTACTAAAGTCATCACTTTTTATTTTCCATCCCATTTTATTTTGTTTGCTTCTGGACTATGTACTATAACTTCACTTCCAAAAATTCTTAGATTACTAATGTCAAGTGTTTTATTGAACTATACCACTAATGAGGTTTTATTTTCAAGTCCTGAAGCAATACTTCTATTAAGTAAATAAACTGACATGTTAAATACTTCTTATCAGACTCTTTTGTTAAACTTTGCATCAAATAATAAACATAGTTCTGGTGTATACTTTAATGTTTAATGTAATATGCCAGCTTGCTTCAAAAATTCTTCAAATGCTATTCCACAGAACTCTCCACCATTATCACTTAATAGAATTTTTATCTTTTTTCCAATTAGTTCTCTACTAGACTTTTAAACTGCTCATAGCATTCAAATACCTCGTCTTTTGTTTCTAAAAAATAGAGCCATTTTGCTATAACCATCCTTGAAAAGGATGAAACGTCTAGTAGTTCCAAATGATTTGACCTCCATTGGACCACAATGCACATTTCTAGTATGCTACTTGTAGTAGATCCTTTCTTTGAAAATGGTATAGTCTACTTGCCTTCATTAGTTTTCTAATTTTGTTTGCTTATGTTGATTCACCCTCTGCATATCATTCCTTCAACAGCACCATTGGTCATTTTCTTCAGGCCTTTTTCATTGATATGTTCTAGTCTCCAATGCCAATAAATATCTCATGACTCAACAGTTCCTGCAGTTTTCAGACACTCCTTTGCTATTTCTGTGTGTAATCTGCAACCATATCATTTTCGAAGATACATTGTTTCCAAGAAATACATTTTTTTATTATGTAAAATCATTATGTTCAAATTCCAGATTATTTCGATCCATTAGCAAGCACAATTTCGTTTAGTCCTTGGAGTTAAGGTTTCTGTTAACTAGTTTTTGCTAGCTATGTGAGCAATAACTCCATATACTGCTATTACCAATCCATTCTACTAAAATGCTGTCCACTCAGAAACACTGCACTTAAAACAGTTGGCAGTTTCCAAAGTGTGTTTATTTGTTTTAGCACCAGGATTATTGTTCTTGATATTCCCAATTTCTTTACAACAATAACAATGAATTGAAATAGGCTTTCACGGCCGAGATTTTCATTGTTACGATCTTCATTCGGGTTCGAAGACCGTCGTGGTTTGGAACTGTATTCTAACGTTTCGTCAGCACGAGTAGCTAGCTTCTTCAGAGGTTTATTCATCTTGACGGTTCACCGATGACTAGTGATTTCTAGTTCGTAAGTTGTATTTATGTTCAATCAAGTAGCCTGTCTTTCTTATTGATGCGTTGCTATTGGCCGATGTGTTATTACCTATTGATGACATTGCATTGCACTGTTGCCACCTTAGCATCTTTCAGTATGGGATTCCAAGTCCGGTTAAGCGTTATCGCCTCTTCTTTTCGGTTGTAGTTTTACATATGTTTATGGATTTCTATGGCTTCCCATACAAGCCGACTGTGGTACCGATTTAAACTTTTCCGCAGGTGCATGGTATACGATATATCCCCGCAGCTGATAGTAGATCTTTTTTGTATTTCGCAGATCTCAGGCTTTGTAGTATTCTCCTGGTGGGCTTGAACACTGTTTTTATGTTATGCTTCCTTAAGATTTTTCCGATTCTGTCTGTAACCCTAGGGATGTACGGTAGAAATGCACGTGCATCCGTTTGAGTTTCCTCTATATTTTGACTTGTAGAAGTCTTCAGTTTCATGGCCTTGTTGATCTAGTTTACACTGTATCCATTCGATCTTAAAGCCACTTGAAGATGCTCCAATTCTTCTTGTAGGTGTTCCGGTTCACATAATCTATACGGACACGTTCTGTCAGGGCGTTGATAATACCCCCCTTTTGACTCGGATGGTGGTTTGAAAGTGCATGCAGATATCTGTCTGTATGTGTCGGTTTTCGGTACACTTCATCTAGTGTACCGTACATCTAGAAAAGCTATTCGTTGTTCCTGTTCAGTCTCCACGGTAAACTTGATGCTAGGGTGTTGAGCATTTATGTGGTCTAGAAATGGGTTCAGTCTGTCCCTCCCATGTCTCCAGATAACGAAGTTGTCTTCCACGTATCGTAGACAAAAGGTTGGTTTGAAATCGAAAGCGTCGATTGCCTTCTTCTCCATGAAGAAGTTGGCTATCACTGAGCTGTTTTGCTAGAGTTATTTTCTCAGCATCCCTTTCAGTTCCCTCAATACACTTTTGTGATTTATTGAGAATCGGGAAATTCTCAGCTGCAAACGCCCATTCAGCACAGTGATTTTTTCAATTTTTTTTATATATTTTATCAATATATTTTATCAATCAGGGGGAACTATCGTTCCCCCTGATGTTCATCTTTATCAAATCTTGAAATAGAGTGAATGATTCTTGCCAGGTTATAGGACACCTTATTAGGTTAATGTTTCATTGTTATCAAACTGCCATAATTAGAAACAAACATAATCTCATGGTTTTCTAGTAGCCTCTTCCAAAAAATAAGCATAGTTCTCCAGGTATAAAAGTAAAGATCGTGGTGGGAATCAAACTTTTGTGTTGACTGTGTGCAAGAGTGAACTTTGGAAAACCCAAAATCCACATTAAAATAAACCATGACCCGAGGGATTGTGTAGTTGTTTGTCAGACCTCAATATACCAGTAGTAGTAATAACAGCCAGCAAGATGGAAATGTATTTCTGCACTTATGAAATCCTCAATTATGAGGTTGTCGATCGCCGCTAGACTAATAGGCATTGACATTTCATGTTATGAAGCGATGAAATCAGCGACATTACTAATTACTTGTATATTTTCAGTAAATAGTAATTAGCTGTACCAAGTCCAATATTACATATCTCTAAGGACTATGAAATGAGAAAGTATGATGTGAATAAGGAGAACATATAAATTTTAAGAAAACAAACATGATCAAGTTGAAAATATAAGAAAATGAGCAATTATATATACATTGGTATCTGAAATCCTTCAGTTTTAGCTACCAATAAAACATAACTGAATGTGTCTTCTTCAATATTATGTGCTGGATGGAAGTTGATGAAAAATGAAATGTAATGTAAAATGTGTAGTTGTTACAATAAATGATTCTGAAGACATCGCTGGTATTAATCAATTTATTGACTTGTTAAATTTGGAAATCCAGCATATATTATCAAAAGATATCACATTTTATTTTCCTTTGAGAAAATAATATATTATACCAAAAATATTAACTGTGTTACTATTATCTTTATCTGTAGCTTGTGAATTTTTTGAAGAATCACTATTAAAACTTAAAATGTCCTCACAGCTTTTCCCATTAACCACAACTTTTTGTGCTTCATTTTCAAGGCACACATTCAACATCTGTTTATTAATTACTGGAACAACTAAATTAAATTTTGCAATTTTTTTATTTATTTCTTTTGTTATATTTTTATACTGGTAAACTTTTTCACTCCAAGCAATATTCTCCTCGACACTTAGAGGATACGGTCCAAAATGTTTACGCTCTGTCAAAAGATCCTGTCGAAGCTGGCTGGCCATTTCTTTGATTTCTTTCTGAAGGGATATCCATTCTGGTGTGAATCCGTTTTCAATAAGTACCTGAAATATTGTTTTATCATATATTGATATCAGAAATTTGAAATGATAACAGTATAAAGGGCAACTATACTTCATAACATTCATCTGGAGCTTTAGAGATATACAATGTTTAAATAATAAAATTGATCAAATGACTGCATATCTAAATCAACAAGAGGAAATAAAAATTGCAGTATTGACAGAGCACTGGCTAAATCAGTGGCAAATAGATACCTTAGTTATTGAAAATTTCACTGTGGGGACTTACTACTCTAGAACACATCACATACATGGGGGGGTAATGATACTTCTCAGAAACAATATGGAGTACAGAGAAATGAAAGAGGTGGCAGGTTTTTCAATTGAAATGCAGATTGAAATCGTTGGAGTTATAACAAAATATGGAATAATTCTGGCACTCTACAGATCGCCACAAGGAGAAATCGATATATTTTTAGAACAGCTGGACTCAGTCTTGCAATTTATAACAGGAACGAATAATATGGAAAATATTTATTTAGCGGGAGATTTTAACATCGATTTCATGACTGAAAGTAACACATGCTGTTCTGTGGAGGATCTGCTGTCATCCTATGGATTACATAAAACAACTGTAGAACCATCACGTGTAACATATAGATCTCAAAGCTGCATCGATAACATATTCACAAACACAATTTCTGAAACGAACTCTCAAACAGTAAATTTACATATGTCAGATCATATGGGACAAATACTAAATTTGCCTCAAAAAGATGAAAGAATAAAAAATCACATGGTGACAGCGAGAAACATAAATATTAAAAACATTGAAAAATGCAAAAAGAAATTATCAGAATTGGATTGGACAACATTACTTGAAAATCTTGATCCCTGTACAGCCTACACATGCTACCATGATGCATTTCTGACAATATATGAATCATGTTTTCCTATAAAAGAAAAGACAAATAAAAGAAGAACAAAATCGTCAAAATGGTACACNTTGCAAAAAAGAAACACTCGAATGAATTCTCCATCTGGCTGAAAAATGTCCTAATAGAAAAATGTTTCTATTCAATAGAAGATTTTATAAATGAATAATACATGTACTACATCTCTTGTAGGTTTACATGTGTATGATAATTTTGTATATATTTATTTATTTTATTTTGATCTATGCATCTCTGTGTATATGTATTTTAATTTTAATACTAAGGAAATAACGACGTTGTAATGTTTCATTTACAATGAATAAATTGATTGATTGAAAAAAAAAAAAAAGAGATATTTTCAGTTGACAGTTTGTACATTGGTAAAAAGGCTATGTAGGCTAATGTTATTAACTCTTCGAACCACCTGAGGGAACATCATAAAAACCATCATTTGTGGTAGTGTGTGTGTGTGTGTGCATACTAGGGTGGCTCATCTGTATAAGAGTGAAAAAAAAATTTTTGAAGTTTTTTACTGGGCCACCCTGTGAAAATGTTGTGTTATATTAAAAGATGAAACCACCAAAAATTCAACTCAATCCGACAAGAGGAAAACGTGCCGTAGGCAGGCAGGTATATACAATATTATATTGATAAACCTCATTTCATTAGCTATCGAGGTGTGGATTAAAATATCTATTTCTCAATTGTCACTTCTAAGAATAAAAATATACCAGAGCCTTCACAGGTAGTTTTTTTCTGGGAATTTTTGTTTATTTACAGGTGGTAAACCAGTCACCAACCTATATAATAATTTCATACTTATATTAGTATGCAACAGACCTTCCTAGTTTGTTTGTGTATTTTCTTTATGAAATTTAAAAACAAACGTTGCACATTAAAGTGCACAATGTATTTAAACACAAATTACTCATTACAGCTGAACCATATGGTTTGGAAGATGTGGCACTTTCAAGATATAACTGTCTCTAGCAATATGTTATATGTTGTTCGTAATCTTTTTAATGTTTTTAACAAATCACTTCCCGATGTAATGGCATGAAAATGTACACTATTCCTTTTGACTTGTACTATACAAATTTTGTAATTTGTCCCTTGTGCGAAATAAATATTCTACTCTATTCTGTTATAAGACTCGAAGTTTACGGAAAAATAGTGTCCTGTACTTAATTGGATATTATACAACCCAAATTGTTGATACTAAATTGCCTTCTAAGAAACAAGTTTTGGATGTTTTATTTTTTAACATGCGTGAAGTGAAACTAAGTTTAAGTGAAAGTATCGCGCTAACTATTAAAAAAGTTTCTGTTTTTTGGGACAAAGCTCGCACACCAATTCGAAAAGAAAACAACTGTTTTGAAAAACTGAAAAAACTTTACGCAGAGTGGAGAGAAAGTAGATAATGACACAGCTGAGAGAGGTATCAAAATAATTGATGAGTATAACAAAATATTAACTAAGGATTAAGAGCAAAAGCAATTTTTACTCAGAGTTGTTAAGGATTATAAAACACGTTTTCAAAATGAAATTTCAGTAGGGATGTTTTTTCATCAAATGGAACGTTTTTTTAGGGGTGGCAGCATAAGATGGGCCACCCTAGTGCATACGTGAATAAATTATCTGTCTACCTACTGCATGCACTACCAATCAATGTGCATATACTTAATTGTAATATTTTACCTATAACGAAAATAAACTTGTTCAATTTCATTACAAAAACTCATTACCAACTCACCTCATTTATTTTATGAGTTACGAAGTCGACATATGGGTTTCTGTTTTGGTGTGATGGAAGTGGTTTGCCACTATTCTTCAAGTTATTGAATTCACCCTTTGATATCGACTCCTGAATTAGATCTTCAACTAAGCGGTCAAATCCATGCCTGTAAAAGAAGAAACATCAATTAAATGTCAAATGTAATTACTCCTCGGATTTGACAAATTGGGTTTGAGCATAATAAACATGTTATGTAGCACCAATACTAATGACAAAGTAATAAAATTATGACATATTTTAGATTAATTGTAGAACTGCAAGAAGAATGAAAATAAATTATGGTAATGGGATAAGGCTCTTCAAAGAACTTGCCAAATGTATGAGGTTGAATTCTGAAGGATCCGATATTTGGATCAATGATGAAATAGGAAGAAAGAAAATAAAGATGGTGAGCTGAAGTCAATCAGTATCTGCCTGACGTTCATTTCATAAAAAAATCGGAAAGTAATAAAAATTGAACAAATTGATGTCAATAATTACTCCGGCTTATAGAAGTGCCGCCATGAAACAACTGACTATTATTCATCCATACTTATAACCGTCAGATTAATCATGTGGTTTGGTGCCCAGTTACAATAACCAGAAAACACACATCGAGTTCAAATATTAAGAGCCGAATAAAATATAAGTTCGACAATAATGTCATATACTTATTTATGATAATATAATAATAATAATAATAGAATTTATTCATCAATCAAAGGTTATACAAGGCATTATACATACACATACATAACACTTATCAGACTAGTCAAGAAAGAAAAGAAGGTAATCTACAAATAAGTTGTTAATCGGAAACAAACCAGATAAATTGTACATACAATAGTCACGTCTTTCAATTATGAGATATCATGAATTATAAAAGTCTTCAACATTATAAAATACGTTTTCAAGAAGAAAGTTTTTCAATTTATTTTTGAATAGAATGTCATTCAGATTCACATCTATCAAATCTCTTATTTTATTGAAACACTTGATACCAATATGCTTTGGTGAATTTTCACAGACTGATAACCTTGAATAGGGTTGTCGAAGTTTTTCTTTATTCCTAGTATTATACATATGAGTGTCTTCATTCCTCATTAGTTCTTTTTTGGTTACGTTTTATGTACATAATCAGTTCAAGAATATATAAACATGGAAGGGTTATTAGTATTTGGAGATTCTTGAATAAAGGTTTACATAAATTATACATATAAACAGTCCTGATTGTCATAAATTCAAATGCCTTAACACTTACCATTTACTATCCTAGAACTTTTTTTTCTCAAATTATGAACAGAAAATAAGTATAAAAACATCATCATAAGAACTCCTCGGCACCTTATATGTGCCCTGAACCAACTGTGAGAGGTAGGCAGGTAGATCTAGTCAACCACCGATTGCAACCCGCGAAGGTTGATTGTGGCTCACACTTATTCAAACTCGACCAAACAAATTCACTCACCAAACAAACAAAGTCGATTACTTCATTTGGTGAGTGGTCTTTCAAGCCAGCTAGCAAAAGTGAGACTTTGCCAAACTTTGGAAACCTGATATGGTTCGAAGCAGATACAGAGCATGTGCTTTGTATCTGCTCAAGGTTAACCGACGATGATAAATTTTTCTCAATCTAGTGAGGAACTGATCAGTGGTCAGTCTAGTACTTCAAGTAGGAAATGCCCTCTAATGACTGCACGTTACTAACTGAACCCACCAAGCAGGGGATGCTCTCCTGAATCTCACAGATAACCTTCAGCCATTCAGATCGAAATGTGCAGCTATAGATTCGTATCTGTGAACCATCTTCTGGAATGTTCTCTTTGGTACTCATAATAGCACACTGAAGAGACTTCTATTAATTTTTTGATATTTCGGTTGTCGGATATTCGAGGTAGATTCCCACCTTAGTGACCTCAGCAACCTTCCCATATGAGGACACTGTAAGTTAGTTATTCCTGACGATATGCTAGATTCACTCATGCAGATTACTACAAGATAACTTCAACTGGCTACTGAAACCAGAAAATTGAAATTCTTTTGTAATGAATGTGAAAAAGGTTTCTCACTTATCCCCATATTGAAGAATATGGTAGAGGACCTACGAGTAGAAGTTGATAAATTGAAGGAGACAAACAAGCAAAATTTAAAAGAAAGAGATAAACAAATTGAAATCTTGAATAAAGAGATAGAACAGTTGAAGCAAGCGAAAGATCCAAATTATTCGTGGAAGGAAATGCTGGATGAAATGAATGAGAGGATGAATAAGGTGAACAATGTAATGGTTTACAATGTTCCTGATTCTACATCAGCGAGCTTAACTGAAAGGATTGAAAATTATGAAACTGAAATCCAAAAGGTTTTCACCATCGTCGAGACGGAAGAATTGACAAATGACATTGTGAAGGTAATACGTATTGGAAGAGCAGGTGGTAATAAGCCACGTCCTACCAAATTAGTGTTCTCTAATAATAATGCGGTCAAAGACTTACTGAAGAACAAGAAAAAGTTGCATAACTCTCCGATCAAGATAAATAATGATCTTACAAAAATGCAAAGAAAAATAAATACCGATACATGGAATGAATTCAAACAAAGGAAAGGCAGTGGGGAAGATATCTTCATAAGATATAGAAACGGCATGGCAGTTATAGAGGAAAACAAAGGTAGAAAAAACTAAATACACTTTCATTACAAGTCTACTATCAAAACGTTGGTGGAATACGTACTAAAATCCAGGAACTTTCAAATGCAGTGTTAAGTTCTTTATGATATTTTAATATTAGTGGAGAGCTGGTTAACCAGTGATATTTTGGATTCAGAGATAAAAATTCCATCATATAGTAGTTTTAGATATGACAGAAATATAGTAACTAGTGGTAAATCCAGAGGAGGGAGAATATTAATTTTTATTAAAAACTCTATTAATAGTTCATAATTGTTCCTCTGTATGAGTCTGTTGAACAGCTATACATCTTATGCAATGTTGGAAATGTAAAATTTATTATAGGGGGGGGTCTACATTCCCCCTCAATCACCGGAAAATATTTATGAAGAGCATTGTATAACAATAGAAAATGTTGTTAATACTCATCCAGGGCATAATATTCTTGTTTTTGGTGACTTCAATCTACCAGAAGCATTGTGGAATAACAATGCTTCGGGGGTAACAGTAAAGTGTCCTGTCAGATCTAATGCTTTGTTACTAGCAGAATCATATGGTTATTTAAATTTAAAAAAAACGGTATTCCTAATAATAGAAACGTGTTTTTGGATTTATGTTTCACTAATTAAAATGATCTGGAAATATACTCGGCTACAGATGATATTTTAGCTAACAGCTACCATCATACTGGTTACACATTCAATGTTTCTGTACCAATTTCTTCAAAATCTCTAGAATTCAGTGAATTTTATAATGATTTTAGGAATGCTGATTACATAGGTTTAAATAATTATTTTGCAGGAATAGATTGGGAAAGCTGTTTAAGTTTCTCGAATGTAAATGAAGCATTAGAATCTTTCTACCATATTTTAAATATGTCTTTGTCGTTGTTTGTTCCACGAAAAAAGTTTAAAACTTCTACATATCCTAAATGATTTAATGCAGATCTAAGATATCTTCTAAAAGAGAAAAAAATGGCTCATAAAACTTACTCGAATTCTCGTGACTATATAATTTTTTCAGACCTTCAGAATATGCAAGAACTTATCTGAGACTTGCTTCAGAAATTATGTGAATCAGCTCAATCAATCCATATATACCAATCCGAAATCTTTCGGGAATTATTTTAATAATAAAAGGGCTACAAATGACACAGTAAAATATGGGGACACAGTAAAATATGGGGCTGAGATTGGAACCAACAGCAAGCAGATTGCAGACTGTTTTGCAAACTTTTTTGCTACTGTGTATTCTTCTTCTGCTTATATAGATGTTAGTAATTTTTCAGAATTAGTTGAGTATGATATACCAGATTTCTACGTGTCAGTGGAAGACATTTTCAACAAAATTTTCAATCTCAAAGACAAACTGAATTGTGGACCTGATGGCTTTCCCGAGTATTTTTTCAAAAAATGTATCTGTACCTTAACATATCCCATATTTCTTATTTTCAAGTGCTCATTAGATTCTAGTTCATTTCCTCACATGTGGAAACATAGCTTCATCCGGCTTATTTTTGAATCTGGTGATAAACAAAATGTGGAAAATTATCGAAGTATCTGTAGTCTGTCTTCACTTGCAAAAATTCTTGATTCATTAGTTAGTGATTAGTTAAAATTTTATTGTAAGGACCGTTTAATAAATAATCAACATGGATTCTCACAATATAAATCTACTATTACCAACTTGATGATTTTTGAACACAAAATATTGGATAACAACTCTCAAAAGTTGAGAACTTGTGCGAGCTAAGGATTAATAATAATAATAATAATTTTATTGCAATACGATCTACAAGTGGACACAGCAAAAGTCAAACTTTTGAGAAGTTAATTCTCATTTACCCTGGAATTACCAATTTTAAAATTAACAGATTTTAATGTATCATCATCGACAAATTACAGTTGAAAATTATATAAATTAAAGAGTTTTTCAAAAATAATCATGATAAACAATATTTACATAGCTATTTTTATTAATGATTTTCGTAACAAATTTCAACTAAACGACTAGTAGCATTTATGTCTCAAGTAAGAAATGACCGAACTTCTAAACTTCTTGAAGACTGTGATATTTTTAAGTTCCTTCGGTAGAGAACTATATGCTTTTACTGCCTGATAGTAAGCTCCTTTCTCATAATAAGTTGAGTTATGGCTGGGAATAGCTAGTTCGTTACAATGTCTGGTGTTAATATGCATATTATTCGAATATTGACAACTATTTCTGGGAAACAGGTATGGATATTTTTTTACGAAACAGACAAGACCCAAGAAGTACAATGAGGGCACTGTCAAAATATCAAGTTTTCAGAAGAACTCTTTACAAGAGCTTCTTTGATCTAGATTTAGGATACATCTCAGGATTCTTTTTTGAGTAACAAATATTTTTTGTGAGTATACTGAAGAACCCCAAAATATAATACCATATGAAATCAATGACTGCACATGTGCATAGTAATATGTTCTCAGGCTACAGAGACTTGATCCCTTAAGTATCGTATCACACCACAAATAGAGCTTAAATCTGTTATTCAATAAATTTATATGGGTTTGCCAACTGAGGGTTGCATCCATCATGACACCTAAGAATTTTGTGTGATCCGATATTGGAATAGACCTATTTTGGAGTTTTACATATAGAGATTCCTCGCAGTTTGATGATTTGTTAAAAATTACTAGTCCTGTTTTGGTAATAATAGCCATGGATTATCTTATGTTTCATCTGTAAAGGATCTGGGTGTTTTTTTTGATGAACAACTTCAATTTTAAGACCACTAGAACTATATTGTGTTAAAGGCGGCAAAATGTCTTCGATTTATTCTACGACATGGTAAACATCTGTCCCTTCAAGTCTTAAGGATAGTTTACTTGTCTCTGGTAGTATCAATATTAGATTATGGCTCAATGATATGGTCTCCATTTTATGACAATCACAATCTTACTCTTGAAAGAGTTCAAAACAAATTCCTAAGATTTTGTGCTCATAGAATGAGTATACCTGTTATTGACCATGATTATAGCAACATTTTAGAAATTCTTAATCTCAATCTGTTGAGATAAAGGAGGAAAAACTTTGATCTAATTTTCATATACAAGTTACTGAATGGCTTAATTGTTGCTCCTGAAATTCTAGAAAATATTAATTTCAATGTTCCAAACAGAATTCTAAGGTCCAGCGATTTGTTTCACTTACGGTTTCATTCTACAAATTATGGCTTACATAACCCTGTTGATCGTATACTTCGACTTATAAATGAAAGAAAATTGGAAGTAACTGATATATCTCTCAGCAAATTCAAAAACAATCTCTTAACTGTATGGTAATATTATGATATGTATTTTATAATAACTTAAGTTAATGTAATGTAGTACATTACTGTTTAAAAAAAAAATCTGTTTAAAATCTGTTTTTCCGTTAATCAGCTGTCGCTCCCATACGAACGACAACTCTCAAAAGTTGAGAACTTGTGCGAGCTAAGGACTAACGAGGTCTTACCTTTTAACGTGTGATTCCTAACACGGTGTATTATATAATTGTTAATTTTGTTCTCAAATGGGGATGATTCCGTAAAAAAAATAAATGAATAAAAAGATATCCTTTTCATAAGAAGGCAATGAGTCAATCAATCAATCAATCCTATATTTCATTCAGAGACCCTATTGGGTATAAACATGTCAATCACAATGAACAAAAAAGAAGTTCTTATCCTAAAAAAAGAAATCTATAGTTTTACAATCAATATGTACAATCACAAATATATAAAAACATACACTAATTCGCTATTGTTTCATATTAAAATACTCAGTGACGTCGTAAAACATATTAATTTGTAAATATTTTTTCATGGCGCTTCGGAATCTGGATAGTGTGGTCTCATTTCTAATATTTACTGGCAACTTATTGTAAGCCTTTATACCCATGGAAATTGGTCCCTTTGACACCAGATTAATATTGTCAAGTCTGGGATAGATATTGCTGCTAGCTCTAGATTGATATGGGTGTACATCATTATATCTCGGAAGTGTATTTCTGGTTCTGTAGATAATACATACCACCTCCAGTAGATACAAGCAGACTAATGGCAGGTTATTCAACTCTGTAAGTACAGGTCTACAGGAGAGTGTGTTTGACGTTTTCATTATAGCTCGTATTGCTCGTTTTTATGATAAAATAAGACCTTGTGCTGCCGGCATTGCTCCCCATAGCATTATGCCATACATTAAATTTGACTTTCTGCAAAATAAAAATCTCTCAGGCAGTTCCTATCGACATGGTTACAAATACACCTAATTTTATATGTTTTAGAATTTTTTTTGTCATATTATATATATGGTTATGCCAGCTAATTGTTTCTTCTAAAGTCAATCCTAGAAATTTCACAGAAATGTTTCGGTTTAAGTGTACATCGTCAAGTTTCAAAAATATTTGATAGTTTGTAGTTCTTTGTCTAGTATGAAAGACTACTTATTCTGTTTTTTGGCAGAGAACCATTCCCCAAGTTTCCCTAGTAACAAATTGCAGTCGTCCTCATTAGTCAGAATGCCTTCGCGGTCTACTAAAAAAGCTGATCATCTGCATACTACGTTATATTGTATTCCGGTAGATATTCCACTAAGTCAGCAATGAACAGTACTGAAGCTAGTACACTACCTTGAGGAACGCCTACTTCCAGCTTTACGGTTTCTGAACGATGCCTACTCACTGATCCATCTGGCCTCTTTTGTGATATTTGAACAAACTGACTTCTGTCCAACAACTCGCTCCTCGTTTGCACTCCGTTAGAAAACTGGGAAACTATTGCTTTTGATTCGATATTACAGGGAAAACAGTTGTGATCATTTAGTCAACGTTCATATCCTCTGTAGGCCAAGAGCGGACATATCAGAAATACATGACGGATGTAGCTGCTCATCGTTTTGAGGTTCAACTCAGTACACAACGAACTTCACTGCTTATGAACTCTTTCATTTGGAGAACTGTGTGTATGTGGAATAAACTTCCTGAGAACGTTTTTCCAAATCCAACGTGAATCGCTATTTTCGCACAGGCACCACTAAAAGAGCGCCTTAAGGATTCTCCTATAGTGCTTGTATTATATCCTTAAAAAAAGTATCGGATTCTCACTTCATGTCCCATAAATGTTTCCACGAGTAGCTAGGGAAACGAGGTCCATTACGACAAAACCCCGTGTTACCGTGACAAATCTTTCTATGGCGAGAGGGTACCCGGTATCTTCAAGGTTACGGATTTAGGAGAACTCTTACCTCCACGGGTGACACCTTACCCGGCAGGGCGTGACTATGAAGGATATGAAAATCAATAGTTCGGAACCAGATCACAAAACATGAGAAGTACAGAGAACGAAAAGACCTGGAAACACAGAGGCAAAACTTAGTAAAGGTTCTGAGATAAAACTGCTTCAAAGCTGCAGGGATGAATTTAAAACCTTTCAGAGGATGAATATTACTGGAGTTTTATCCCAACACCAAACAGTTATTTTCAACACCTCGGCACGTGTATCAATCATGAAGCTGTCGGTGTGCTGCTCTGAATATGTGAATATGATCAAACTATGAGCATCATCTTGTTCCAGAGAAAATGTTTCTTTGTCCATTTAAAATGATTACTACTCAAACTAGGAAAATTTATCTAAAGCTTATTCAAATGGAATTATTCGGAATTCCCAAAATTTTAAAACGTCATTTGAATAAGCTCTAGAATGGGCAGTTTTTCAGCGCAGTCTACAGGAATCCAATACATATTAACAGATGCCTGAAGGCAGCGCCATATCACCATCCAGCACTAATAAAAGCGGTAGCCAATACTATTGTATCCAGATCTGAACACCAACATACGAAGACACAAAGAAACAAAAAATGAAAGACATACAGCATACATACATCATAAAAGGCACAAAGTAATATACCAAAGAGAAAAGGAAAGCAATGAAAAAACAAACACAAGAAAACTTAAAGCCATGCTGCCTTATGACAGAGGAATTAAAAATAAAATAGGAAGAATTCAAAATTACACAGAATGAAAACAACATATAAACCTACGAGAACCAAGGTATATATAAATTGCATGTGGAGATCGCAGCGGAGAATACATCGGCCAAACGAATATGTGAATATCAGTCAGATTAGAGGAACACAAACTCTCACTTCGCAACAAACAAACAAACTTAGCTTTATACAAGCACCACTTTGATATAGGTCACAACATTGACTTCAAAATCTGCAAACAGATCGCAAGTATACAGCATCATAAGGGAGTCAATCGAAATTGAGATTGGCAGTCTCAACAAGAGAAATAGTGGGATAGAGAGAGAGAAACTTGTTCAGAATAATATGTAATATGCATAATTAGATTGATCCACTATTATAATTTGATTTTACCCGTGTATTTTTTTTCGTGTGGGTTTATGAAAAATAAAATTAATTTATAACAAAAAAAGTATACAACGCCGCCCATGCTATACAAAAAATCTGCTGACGTTCGGTAACTGTAATTTCTGCATACGGCCTTGACTTTCACACATAGGGAGAGAGAAAAGGGATAATAAAATTAAATTTTTATTTTTAATAAATTGATATTACCTTCCTTGTCAATTTATCTGGCTTACTTTGTTTTGATTTTGTGATTCAATGGGACTTTTTCCCAACTCTCATAAATTTTATTTTTATCAAACAGTGACTTTTCATCTGCCACTGCTTTGGATATACGATGATCATACACATTTTCAGCAGCTTTCATTGCTCGAACTTTGTAGTATTGTTTTTGTCTCTGAAAATGATTTCCAGATCCTACTCCATCATAGCTCAAATACTGTCGATGTTGTGGGGCAGTGTGCTAGAAATAAAATTAAGTGAGCATAAACTTGGGGTCAGCAAGCTACATTCAAGGCAGATTCATGCACCAAACAAAAGTCGTAAGTAGTGAGTCAAAAGAAGTTTTGAATTTTAATTTTCAAGATGAACCTTCATGTACAAGTCATGAGTTTTTAGCTGAAACAAATGCGGCCAAGACGAATTCTTACGACTTGAAACCTATATTTTCATTCAAATATGTTATAAGATTATTTTTATGGAGATGCACAAGCACTGCAAACATCCTCTGAATGCTCTGAGAGCGGTGCCTCTGAGTTTTATTTAGATTTGAATATCTATAATTATATTCATTTGGAAAAGTTCTTAGAAAGTTTGTTCCATAAGGACGTCATTGTCCAAATAAATAAGTACAAATGACCGTCAGAATATTTAAAGATATTCGACTTATCTATAAAACTCTTTCATAGTAACCACTTCTAGAATTCCTATATGTTATTTATATACAGCTGATATCACGAACCTATCTCGAAAATGGTAACACTTACAAATTTCATTAGTATACACAAGAACAATAAAAATATGTATTCAGATAACACTCATCAATGGCCGTTTTGAGTATTTAGAAAAAAATTATGAAAATGAGGCAGATGAACTTTTCATGTTTTTGATTGAACCAATTTTCAACGTGACTTTTCGTTTTCCAGGGCAATCACATAAATTGTGAGCCATTGAAAGATCACATCATTTTTCAACAATCCTTGTGACCATCGCCATCCTCCCGATGAGTTGTCCTCCTAGGTCATCGTCCATCCTATCCTTTACAGGAAAGTGGACAGGTCACTGGGAGATATCTCCTTTATATCGGCAGGTGTAGGCCAAGACTCGCCGAACACACACACTCTCATTGACGATAACTCCGGGCACTCGCATTGGACATGCCTGACAGTCTCATCTTCCTGTTCACACATCCTGCATAGAGGTGTGTCCACTAGCGCACTAGCCCCATATTATGGAGATGTTTCCTTAGTTGACAGTGGCCAGTTAGAAATCCTACTGTTAAGCATAGATTTTTCCTGGTCATCGCCAGATATTTCTTCGGCGCCAGCTTCCCAGGGGCGCCCAAGGTGATCCTGGCAAGATTGCATCCTTTGATTCCAACCATCTCGTTATGGATTGAGCATGGGTGTAACATTTGGCTAGTTCCGCAATAGTCATCAAGCCGTAGGTGTCACTGGGTCCTAAAATTCCTAGTCCAGCCGCTTCCTTGGCTAAAGAGTTGGCAATGCGATTACCTTCACTCCTGTCGTGTCCTGTCTTGTCCTGTCCTGTCATTATCTACCGAGGCTTTGGCTAAATCTTGGTGACACTCTAGTACTAGCCCTGAGGTTATACGTTGTCTGTTCAAGGCTAATAGGGCTTGTCTGCTGTTAGTGCAGACAGTGTTTTTGCCAGAAATTCCTTTCTTGGTTATTTCTTTTGTGGCGATTGAGATACCAGCCAGTTCTGTTTGGACCACGCTGGTATTTCTTCCCATTCTCCACTTAATTCTTAGGCTTAGTGATCTGGAGTACACTCCACACCCTGAGCCTTCTTTGGTTTTATAGCCGTCTGCATTTGTATCATCTGACTCTATGTTCTGTTTAATTTGTATTTTGTAGGGTTTATTAAACACAAACCTGGGTTCAATTGTATCGCTTGTTGCCTGCAGCAGAGGTTGTGTAGTAAGCGCTTCCCGCCATAGGCCCAGCCTCAATTGACCCATTCCTACTTCGAGGCCGTGCGTAATCGTACCCGTGATTGATTCCATTGCTCCTGTGATGTTTAAACAAGCCAGTCGCTGTATTTAATATAATTTTTGGATGGCCGTTGCTTGTAAAACTTTCAGTCCCCATGCAATGGCTCCGTACGTTAACATAGGGCTTATTATTGCAGTGTAGATCCAGGTGACCACACAGGGTGAAAGACCCCATGCGCGTCCCACTGTCCTCCGACTTTGCTCATAAAGATATATGCTCTTTTTGCTCTACTCTGTAGTTGAGAGTTCCGTGTTAGCTTCCTGTCAAGGATAGTACCAAGGTATTTCACCTCTTCAGAGAAGTTTACTTTGCTTTTGAAGATTTCGGGAGGTTTTCAAGTTTTTCATAGCTGATTCTCATTCCTTTATTGAATACATTTCCCAAGTATTTTACATCTGTTTGTCTGAAGTGTACTTTATTTTTGTTGAATTCAACATTGAGGAGTCTTTCTAAATTGATTACGTTTCTAAGTGTATTATCATGTTCCTCAATAGTATTAGTCAATATCAACATTCTTCAAAATATATTAAAACATTTTTTGCTTTGCTTATTTAGGCGACATGGGGGGCGGGGGGTCTAGATGGTGATTACGTCAGCAGTAGTTATTCAATTTTTTACACATATGGCAACCCACACATTGTCTGTGTTTGAAAAATGAAAAATGCAAAAACAATGTTTACATAAGCATGTGAGAGGGGGTAAGAGCTTTGCTTACATTTGCTGACAATGGGGGTGAGGGGGGGTAAATAATTGTAATAAATATGCTTACGTAATATTTGAACGGCCAAAACCTTTCTTTCCCAAAACGTTTTCCATTTTCCAAATGAATTCATTATTACAGTGCTAGTCCAATACGTTTTTTCCATTGATTTACACTCATTCAAAAGTTATTAATGATTCAAAATTCATATTTAAATGATAAATATGATTCAAACAGATGACTTCTAAATTATTGTTTGAATATTTAAAGAATATGTCTTGAATATTCGCTTGCTACTTGGACTGTGATTTATGATTTAAGAAGGGTGCTTTAATCTAAATTCAAATTTGCAAACCTTTATATCTGGGTGATCAATAATAACTCCTTCTTCTGCATCCATTCGATCCCTTGATTTTTTGTTCATTAGATTTCGAAAAGCACAATCAATCTGTAAAACAAGTTGATGAAAATTCTAAAAGAAGATAATGTATTACCTTAAATTATAACCCTATATACGTACACAAACCCAAGTGTGAACACTGACAATTAAATAAATATTGTATAAATCATCTGAGAATTTATCGACAAAAACTTTTGGTGCTTTGAATTCTACGATTTTTGTGTTGCCCTAAATGATTAAAAATATAGAATTTCAATTTTTTGTGTCTAAAAAAAATGAACAGAAAAGTTTTCATCACTTTTTTTTCATTAATTACGGAAAATGACAAAAAATTAAAATCCTATCAAGTATTATTAGTATTTTTTATAATACCTTGAATTCACTTTGGCCTACCAGATATGAAAAACTGGCCCTGAAATTTTCCTATAAGACTGGTAGAATAGGAAGTGTTTTTAAAAACAAGTAATTCAAAAACTTTATACTTTTACATCATTATACAAAAAAAGTGTCAAACTTTGAAAGAAAGGAAAAAATAATCAACTTCAATATAAACTATTTCTCCATCATTATACAAAACAAGCGGGAAATTTCTTACATCCTTCCTATTTTCAGAAAATCACAACTTTTTTGTATAATGGAGTCATAGTGTGTCTGACTTGGTTTTACTTTCAACTTGGTCAAGACTTTGGTTTTGTTTCATATAAAAGTGAGAAGATAATTTTCGCACCATCAACAACTTTTTTTCATTTACATATTACACCCTCAATTGTTTTTAATACAGGGACAAACAGGAAAATTGTCACAAACATACTATAAAATTAAATAAACAAGATTAACAAAGACAAACGTTTCAAACTTAACTTCGGCAATAAGACTCCCTCCCAGTGATGAAATCTTATTAATCACTATTCTTTATGTTTATCAACATCTAGAAGACAAAGAAATTCAAAAACTTTTCACTGTAACATCATTATACAAAAAATGTGGGAAACTTTGAAAGAAAGAAAAAAAGTAATCAACTTCAATATAAACTATTTTCAAAGATTAAAAAGTTCCATCATTATTATACAAAACAATTAGGAAATTTCTTACTCCCTTCCTATTTTCAGAAATTCACAACTTTTTTGTATAATGATAGTCATAGTGTGTCTGAATTTGTTTCACTTTCAACTTGGCCAAGACTTTGGTTTTGTTTGATATAAAAGTGAGAAGATAATTTTACACCCTCAATTGTTTTTTATACAGGAACAGGAAAATTGTCACAAACATACTATACAATTAAATAAACAAGATTAACAAAGACAAACGTTTTAAATTTAACTTCTGCAAGAACACTCCCTGTTTATAAACATCTAGAAGACAAAGTTTGGTAATAGGTCTTCTGTATGTAGCAATATTTGTTTTTACATCGACCACTTGCACATTGGCATCTGCACCTGGATAATATGTTGCAGTTACTACACCTTTGTACCAAGTGTTTTTTAGGAATTGATGTCTACTATTATCACTATGTCTCCAACCTTGATTTTTTTTGTGGGCGATATGCACCATTTTGTTTTCCTGGTTATTACCAGCAAATTGATTTGATTCAATGGCACCAGAAATGATCAGTGAGCAATGGAGACTTTGATGGATGTAGACTATATTAGTTTATTGTATAAGTTTGAAAATGTCCGTATAGGACGAAACTACAGTAACGTTAGTTACAAATAAAAGTAGTAAAAACATAGAAAGTTTCATTTCTCTTTTCTTCAATTGAGATTTTCGCCACTGTTTCCTTCTTCAAACTTTCCTACAACTTGAACTACACTTGGAGTACCCAATAAAAAATGATTTGGTATTAAATCTTCAGCATCTGAATGATCCAATGATACATGGATGAGAGGACAACTGTTCACAATATGTTTAGCTTCTACAAGCAATGTGTGAAGAACTTCTACTTCAAAACCCCACGTAGAGTTGTTTTTATTGATTTGATGAGTCTTTCCCAACGGGCTCTCATGAGTGGAGCAGAGGGAGGAAAAAAAGTTTAAACTCTATATTGTCGGTAATCAGTTCAGAAGAGATTTTATTCTGATCAAAAGAGACCTTCTCAGCTGAGTCAGTCAGGCTAGGAATAGACATCATTTGTCGGATGGGGCTACTCTGAACTTTGACAGAACGAAACTTGTTTGAATGGAATATTTTATTTTGATTCAAAGGTAGGCAACAGCTGCATAGGCCTGGGAACTTTCATCACAGAAAACATGCAACTGGATTTATTGGACTTCAAAAATATTGGGAATATAACGAGGAATGGACAAAATTGCGATTTTTTCAATATTTTCAACCCATATTCTCCATTTTTTCATCACTTCTTCATTTACTTCATCATCCGATCCCATTTTTGTACGTCAAATGTCCTGAACAAGAACTTGAGCAGCTATTGTGTAAGTACTTGGGAAGCCAAAAAGATCATAGATTGACATGACTGTTTTTAGTACTTTCCTTTTTGTTACGTTTTTAGCGAGTAACATTTTGAGGTCTTTCGAGTCTCACTTTATTGAAAAGGAGAAACAACTTGATTTGGGTTTCAAAACAGTCCTAAAATTCTCACAGTGGGTAAAGGCAACTCCTTTTCCATATTTTTTCTCTGAAACTCCTAAGCTCTTATGGTATGTACTTCAAAACATCTTTGGAATTGCTGGACTAGTTTCTTATGAGAAAACCCCTTGATTATGAACTTCAATCATATCCGATGACATTTTCTTTACTTTTTCAATGTTATTTACACTATCGAGGTAGTTATCAACGTAGTGTTGGTTTCTAATGGCTTTTACAGCTTCTGAAAATTCTGCCTCAAATTCTGCAGCATTTCTTCTCATAACACATTGGGCCGATGTTAAAAATGATACTGCTCCAAAAAAAAAACCGTCATTTTATATTTTACATGATTTTTGTCATGACTTCGTCTGTCTCTTCACAAAAATCTCTGTGCATTCCTATCCATAGATCTCATTTCGACTCTATGGAACATAGTTTATTAGAATTTGCTACCGCACAATGTGGTAGATACCAAACAATCATAGTATCTTTTGATACCTCTTCACCAGACAACATTCAAGCATACTCTTTTTTAAATATTCACTCATTTTATTTTCGTATTCTAGACCAAAATCTCAATTTCTCTCCATCTTTTTCTCTATTGATTTTATTCGGCACAGGGCAGTAGATTTATTATTTGGTGTATAGTTACATTATCATTTTTCCATAAAAGTCCAGTTTCACATCTGTTTGAATCTATCCTTTTTGTCGTCTTCTCCAAAATTATAGAGGCTCTGATGTCATATGAATGTTGTAATGGTTTATAATACTTTATACCCAAATTTTCAATTTTGAAAATTTTTTTCAACCTGTTGGTCCAAATCGTCTTATAAAAAGGGAAAATTATTTATCTACTCGTCCAAAATACTGTTATATGTTATTTCCATTCCCAACATCGATCTAAATAACCTAGGTTAGTTTTTTCCTCCTTTGTGATGAGATCAATGTGGTCCTGTCCAATAAGAATTTATGATTTTACACAGTGCATTTCTTAGATAGACTTTTAGAGTCAATTGTGAACACACTGTGAGATAGAGCGCAGGATGGGCTCAAATTAATAGAAACACGGTGTAAGGAACACTCACTGTCGATCAATCCCAAGAAGACTGAGATGGTCGTTTTCACCAGGAAAAGAAGTTTAACGGGCTTAAAACCTCCCGAAATCTTCAAAAGCAAACTAAACTTCTCTGAAGAGGTAAAATACCTTAGTACTATCCTCGATAGGAAGCTAACATCTACAGAGTAGAGCAAAAAGAGCATACGTGGCTTATGAGCAATGTCGGAGGACAGTGGGACACGCATGGGGTCTTTCATCCCGTGTGGTCACCTGGATCTACACTGCAATAATAAGACCTATGTTAACGTACGTAGCCATTGCTTGGGGATCGAAAGTTCTACAACCAACAGCCATCCAAAAATCATATCAAATACAGCGACTGCCTTGTTTAAACATCACAGGAGCCATGAGGACAACACCAACCGCGGCAATGGAATTAATTACAGGTCTTACCCCTATGGACCTGTATGGTAAGGAGATTGCATTAATGGCCATGTTACGATTGCATACGGCTGGTGTAAACCTCGAAGTAGGAATGCGCAACCTCTGCTGCAGGCAACAAGCGATGCAATTGAACCCAGGTTTGTGTTTAATAAACCCTACAAAATACAAATTAAGCAGAACATAGAGTCAGATGATACAAATGCAATACGGATTTATACAGACGGCTCAAAAACCAAAGAAGGCTCAGGGTATGGAGTGTACTCCAGATCACTAAGCCTAGGTATTAAGTGGGGAATGGGAAGAAATACCAGCGTGGTCCAAACAGAACTGGCTGGTATCTCAATCGCCACAAAAGAAAGGAATTTCTGGCAAAAACACTGTCTGCACTAACAGCAGACAAGCCCTATTAGCCTTGAACAGACAAAGTATAACCTCAGGGCTAGTACTAGAGTGTCACCAAGATTTAGCCAAAGCCTCGGTAGATAATGACAGGACAGGACAAGACAGGACACGACAGGAGTGAAGGTAATCGCATTGCCAACTCTTTAGCCAAGGAAGCGGCTGGACTAAGAATTTTACGACCCAGTGGCACCTACGGCCTGATGACTTTGACAATGGCGGAACTAGTCAAATGTTACATCCATGCTCAATCCTAAAAGATATGGGATGGAATCAAAGGATTTAACCTTGCCAGGATCACCTTGGGCGACCCTGGTAAGCTGGCGCCGAAGAAATATTTGGCGATGACCAGGAAAAATCTACCCCTAATAGTAGGATTTCTGACTGACCACTGTCAACTAAGGAAACACCTCCATAATATGGGGCTAGTGAACACACCTCTATGCAGGATGTGTGAACAGGAAGATGAGACTATCAGGCATGTCCTGTGCGAGTGCCCAGAGTTATTGTCAATAAGAGAGTGTGTGTTCGGCGAGTCTTGGCCTATAAAGGAGATGTCTCCCGGTGACCTGTCCACCTTCCTGGAAAGGACAGGATGGACGATGACCCAGGAGGACAACTCCTCAGGAGGATGTACAATGGGTCACATGTGGCCTAAATGCTGTGGGCCTACACTCACCCTCCCTAATCTACAGATTCAGAGAGAGTCAATTGATTGTACAGGAAGAGATAAGTTATGGACCCAAATCATACTCAGTATCTTTATTATTTCCTCTTATCTTCAAACTGATCTTCCAGTGGAGTACCTTACAGGTCATAGAATTTGTTCAACTGAGTTTCATATTTCTGTTGGTCCAGTAGCACCTATTTTCTCAGCCAATACAGCGTCAACTATGGTTACCGTTGAACCTTCATTAAAACAAGCATAAGTGTTGATTTTACCATTGGGGCCATTTAATTCTTCAAGAGTTATTCTTAATGAAACCTTAGACAACTTCATCCTGAGGAGATGATGGCAAACTTGCTCTTTGTAGTTTTCTAGTACTGTTTCAGGTTCCTTATGTAAAAAAGGATGATGTTTGTGAAGGCAGCCATCGACATCACATTTTTTCTTGCTTTCAAAAAGCAACAACTGAAACATTCTTTATTTTCTCTCACCCAGTCCCAACGTTTCTCATCTTCTCACAGTTGGAGAATATGATTGTTCGGATATACTTGATTTGGTGAATCTTCCCACCCTTTCTTTTTGTAGAACAAATAATGATATCATTAACTTTTATAAAATTAAATCAGGTGACATTAATTGTAATGACCTATTACATGAAGTATAATTCCAAATACCTGTTCGTTCAACTAGGAACAATATGTTTCTACTGTCCCAAATCACCATACTAACTATGGAAGCCAACGGTCTTAACTGTGACATTATTAAAATTTCACTGAATACTTTAAAAAAAGTGAAGCAACAGAATTCAAGAGATAACCAGGATGATAATTTTAAGTTTATATCATTTAAATTTTATGTATTTACATTGATATATGTTTACATTTATATATACATTAAATCATAGTGACAAACAAAGTGTTGTCCCAAAGTGTTTTATAATTGAATTAACATACCTCTTGGAATTTCTTGGCACTGGCTTCATCAGTGCCACTATCTGGATGATATCTTTTAACAAGACTGAGGTAAGCAGACCTGATTTGTTCTTGATCACTCGTTTCATCAATTCCAAGAATTTGGAAGCATTTCTAAAAGTATAATTTGTTTTAAATGAATGGTTGAAAAAACAAAATACTACCTTATAATCCACTTTCTTCGAAAAAAAACCAAAATAAGCAGCATTCCTTCTTACCATATTTTTAGAATTTTTTATAAATATGTTTAATGCCATGGTTCACATAGTATTTTCTGTATATAAAATATATATTATGTAAAATCAGCTGATTTTCATGAGGAAATCATGCATTGTGTGATTATAAGGGAATTTAATCCTTACACTGAACATATAATAGCTAACACTCAACACTTGAGATTGCTGATGGTATTTGACAGTTACCTTCCGTTTCTGTATCATATATTTAAATACAACTTACACAAATTTAATTTGAAAGATCGAAATAAAATAAGAGATAGATCATACGATCATAGTTATCTTTCATATTACATAACACAACAATATGAAATAAGATGCGTCAACCAGTCATCAGTCAAATACCAATCGGTAAATAGTGAAGTTGGCTGCCAGACCACGGAACCACAGCATGTAACAATTATGCTGTGACAGAACTGCCAGTCCTAGCGGTTTAAGGTTATGTCGATGGACCCAGCAATTACGTTGTGGTTCCAGCAGTGGTGGTTCTTGTCACGCTCTGGTATTCGAACTCAGGTAGACGCTATATCCCTTCCTCGCCCTTTATGCATGATGTCTCGAAATGAGAGTAATGGATTTTCGACCAAAATTACATTTCTTTCGCCAATTTGTAAAAAAATTTCAACTTCGGCTTTTCCTCGATTTTTCTTCGGTTTCCTATAATAGTCGACGCCATAAGAAAAAAATTCTCATGAAGAAAATCTATGAGTATAGATTCGCGTTCTATCCGAAAAATGTTATATTTTTACCTTTAAAATTGCAAAAACTCCTGAAACACGAAAGGTAGATCCGCGATCGAGGTGTCAAACGGAAGCTACTGAAAAATTCGACGCTTCTTTGAAGAAAACTCGATTTCTCTATCCAGATAACTAAAAAAGCAATTTTCTGATAAACTGCACTTTTTCCCTACTAAAAATAAACGAATTTTAATTGATCTTGCAAAAGATTAAGCTAACATGTAGGAAATGATATTCCACATCTTAATTTACCGAAATTAAACTGAAATATCCTGAAAAACAAGCATTTTATATTTTCCGATGTTCTTTCAGATTAGGCGTTCCTTGCACTGAAATATCCCGAAATTTCAACAGTTTTGTTGGTTTGTTGTGTCGAAGATTTTTTTTTCAATAATACAATGGTCATTAATCATTACTTACACTCTATTTTCAGATATAAAAATTATCTTCATTTAATTAACTATTATATTTTTGTTGCGAGATAGGTTAAGGTTTCTTGAATCATACTCTTTGATAATTACTTCAGTTTTTTATTTTTCAACATATAAAAAGTACAACCGATTTAAACATTTAGTGGATATTTGGGCTTATATTCGAAATGAACACTCAGAATGTTTGTACTGTTTTTATAATTAATTCTATAATTTGCATTTCTTGCAATAGGAACACCACCTCCTGGGTGGTGGATTGGCATTCTTACAGACTTGGACTTCTTGGCCTTCCTCGTCGCCTTCTTAACTTCTTCACACACTGCTCCTTTTCTAGGGGTTCTCGTACTCATCATCTGAACTAATTTGAGACGAAGTAGTCGGTGGAAGTACCATACCCTTTTAGTATGCGTCCTTGAATTCCGACAGTGTCATCAAAAAATGAGATATTGAGAGGTCTGGCAGTGACTTCTCGTGTTTCAAAGCCATAAGGCCCACTCACTTCTGATGAGGTTAGAAGTGAAGGTAGAAATAGGCCATATGACGTGCTTATAGCTCAAGGTCGTTTACGATCTTCAATGCCATATGACGTGCACATATCTCGAAGTCGTGTGACGCCATTCAAGATCAAATTCGATTGGTGGGGTGAGGTTCAAAAACGTCACATAATCGCTTGTTATTTCATAAGTTTGATGTTTATATATGAAACGCCGTTGCTTTGAACTAATAAGTTAGTACCAATTTCATCAGTTTGGACTTCCATTGTCTAATATAATATAAATTCATTTGAAATCCCTGAAAAAAATAATAAGATTATCCGAAAATAACAATTTTATTGAACAAAAAACTAAAATTACAATGAAATAACATCCAAGCAACAACCATAAAATAAAAAAGTCAAATAATAATAAAATCTGAAAATTAAAAAATATTATTAAAAAAAAAGAAAAATTTAAATTAAAATGACCTATAAATAGTCAGATCTCGGAGAAATAAGTCCAGGTATCACCCGAAGACTATTGTGGATACTAACAATCGCAACGTCGTGATGTAACTTGGTTTGGAATCTTTTAATTTTTATTTTTCATTTTTTGTTAATAATATTTTTTAATTTTCAGCTTCTATTATTATTTCATTCCTTTATTTTTTTGTTGTTGCTTGGATGATATTTTTTTGTAATTTCAGTTTTTTGTTTAATAAAATTGTTGTTTTCGGTTAATCTTTTTAATTTTTTCAGGGATTTCAATCAATTTATATTATATTAGACAATGAAAGTCACCAGGAATACACCAGGAAACATTGTCAACCACCTTCAAACAAGTTAGTACCAATATTCAAAGATTGTAAGGAAATCTGAAGGAATTTATTTCATTTTCACGATCAAATTCAAATTAATATTATGAAAAAATTTTGGAAAAAAAAGAAGACATTTGCAAGTAGCACTTGGAAATATATAAGTGCAGTTACATCATGGGTATTTCATGAAAAATAGTAATATAAAACAAATCGACAATAGACCTTATTTCACATGACAAAAGAGGAGGCATTCCGTGTTGTACGACCGACTATCCTATTGAAATAAAATGTATGTATATTAACTTTATTTCCTTTTCACAGGCCATCGTCCTCTTCTTCAAGTGCAATATTTTCTATTGATTGACTTAATTCTATAGTGATCATGGAGAATATAGATTCAAAGGACTCATGAAGTAGAAAACGATTTTCAAAAAAAGTTTTCGAATTGTACGTGGTACTCTCTATACTTATGATAATGAGGAGTAGAAATAGAAAAGACGGAACATAGGTTTCTTTCACGTGGCAGTTTAACTAGAAAAGTTGCCAGCTAAAACTATGTTGTAAGTTATAAACAAGATGCATAGATAATCACCATGTAAAATATTTTGTTCACATTTGGAAATATGTGATTCAATATCATTTGAGAATCTTTTCTTACATTATGATCGATAAATTAAAGATATGAACAAAATACGCACGAAACATTTTGATTCTTGCACCAATTATCAACATGTGTAAAAAGTTGGGTCAATCTCATTTCTCGAATCGAGAGTTTTTGACAAAATAAAAGCGAATCTGTGAAAACACCAGGGTTTCTATGCATCCTGGTTTTAGATAATGCTATTTAAATTTTAGTATTCAAGAATGGTACTTTGGAACACTATCGCCATCTGAATTTATTAATACGGATACTCTATGAGATTTCGCGATTGGAACGTTCCAATAAAGGAGCGGTATATTATTTTATTTTAGATGAAGAGGTGGGTCGAAGTGGACGTCATTCGTAATTCATTTCTGATTTCTCAAGTTATTCCATTATTCAATTTCATAAGTAATCAATGGAATAATTACTTACCCAAAATGAAGCAAAATCAAAAGTAGAATAGATTTAGAGTATAATCTAAGTGTGCAATTAGACATGACATTTTCAAAATTTACAGTGTAATATGTGATAGAAAATCATGTACCTGAAATGACTTTTGAATTCTTCATCTAAATAACGATAAAATATATTCCCATAATCAATAATACGCGGCCTAAATTTTCAGTTTTCACGATTATAATTTTGTAAAGTTGCATTCCACTCTCCATCTGAATGAAATAGGTGAACTAGTTTCTGGAGCACTATTGCGACGCATCTACAAATCTCCAATTGCCATATAAGACATTTTGATTACTTTCAAACTCCAATACTGTATCTATATTTTTTTAATTATATATGAAGTAAGCTTGCAATTATTGAAACTTATTGTTAAGGTTTACGTAACCTCATTAAAACTTCAACATCATTTTTTCAACTTCACCATTTGTAATGTTACATGAACGCCCAAAACGTCCATTATCAATTCAACTTGAGTTTACGACAGTACACTCGCAAGCAAGTGGAACGGGAAGAACTGCGGTCGTGAGCGTGATTGTTGTGAGCGCCTAGTGGAACGCACGGTTAGAGTATTTAACACTTGAAAAAGAATATGTTCCGTAAATCAACTTGGTTACTTTGGTTGGTTATTTCGTGTCCCGTAATTGTCATATTCCTGAAAAAATGGTAAATTTTTCCTGAAGTTTGGTTGATTATCTGTCACCGAAACGACCGATGTTTAGAGATCGGTGAGTCCGGTGAGTTGATTGTCACTTGTCATTCTCTTATTTTTTGTGGCTGTTTGCTCTTTGAAAGTTTGAATTTAACCCTATTTTATAGTTATTTTTCTGAAAGCACAATGGAAATTAATGTAAGTTTTATTTTTCATTACATTTGTACGGGAGTGTTTCGGATATCTATAGTATTCAAAAACAAGTAGAGGGGTTTATGTATTCATATTTTTTCAAAGCAGTTAACATCAGACGATATTGTTTCATTATTTCCCGATTCAGTATCATCAAATAAGGGAACATATGCGAGATAATTACTGGAACCTTTGATGTAGATATTTGATTCTTGAAACCGAAATTAACTCGATTTTTTTGTTTTCGAGTGTCATTGAATCAGCGTTGTAATAAAATTTGTTTCAATTTTTATTATTGTTTTCAGGAAGATCATATTCTGTTTTGTGGCCACTGCAATGTCGGAATTGGAAAATTGCCAGAAATCATTGCCAATGATATGATTGCAAATCATCCTTGTTTATCAAACTCAGAAAATGTCTGACTTCAACAAAAAATATATATTCTGATGCCATACCCGAGACCCCTCTTGATCCAAAAAATAATTTTGAATTGCCACACCGTTCTAAGAATTCAGTAGCTATGACCAGTTCTAATAGTGTTACTGAAAAATCAATAAATGTTTTCGAGGGATGGACGGGCAATATGGTTAAATTACTAGTCGCTACATATAGTAACCATAAAAGCAAATTTAATGATCCAAAATTTACCAAAAAAAAAGGTTTGGAATTTAATAAGCCAGGATTTGATGGAAAAAAGGAGTCATTAAAAGTGGTATCAAATGTGATGAAAAGTGGCGTAACCTGATAAAAACATATGACAAAGTAAAGTTACATTTGAACACTTCAGGAGGGAATGAGATTGTATGGAAATTTTTTGATTTACAAAATATTTATTTTAAGGATCCTTATTTCGAACCAGTGGCGGTGGCAAGTACTAGTGGAATCAAGAGGAAGACAGGAGAAAATACTGAAGCGAGGAACCTATCACCAGGAGAGAGTAAAAGGCCAAAGAAATTAATATCTTCTCTAGAAATAGAAAATAGAAGACAAAAACGACACGATGAAAAGATGAGTTTGAAAAGAGAAATGTTCGAGTGGCTAAAAGAAAATCACCCGAAAAAAGACTAATTCTTATTTGTTTTCAAGTTATTTATTCCAAATGTGGATTCCAAAGAATACTTTTTTGTTTTAAATATTTTTTGTTGATTTTGAATATTTTTTATTTACTATATTTATAATGGTTTTTTATTTATGAGAAATATAGTTTTTTATGTGAATAAGACTACCATTTTCGAAATGCCTTTATTCTAAATCATTAGCCATTGTGGAAGAGATCTGAGATCATTCACTGAGTTCTTGACAAATCCTATTTCTTTTGACTCTTCCCATAAGTTGCCTTGCTCTTTCTATTTGCTGAGGTATGTGGACATCCTCTTCCTCTTCATGATTTTCAATGTCAATAATCATATCTTGCACATCATTTTGTATAATACATATATTGTGCAGAACACAGCATGCAATAATATATGTAGGCCTCCACTGAGAGGAACGCACATCCAATAATTCACTAAGACATCTGAATCTTTTTTTAATAAGCCAAAGGCCCTTTCTATTGTACATCTTGCTCTAGATAATAGAAAATTATATTGTTTTTGGCTATTTGTTAGATGGCCATTGTCTTTATAGGGAGTCATTATTTCTGGAAAACAGGGATAAGTCTTGTCACCAATTAAATGGGTGTCATTCGGAAATTTCCCATCCTCTGTCATGAAACTCCAAATTTCACTTCTCCTTAAGACGCTAGCATCATGGTGTGCCCCGACTTCCCCTGCATAGCAGTGGGTTAACTTCAGGGTATTATCGCAGACTGCCTGCAACATTTAATGTTGAAATGATACTTTATTATCGCAGGACACGATTCCTGGAATATAACTTATTACCTGCAATATAATACTGGGATAAGATTTTCGGTTGACATATGAATTCTCATGGTTTTTGGGTTTCGGTATTTTTATGTGTGTCCCATCTATGGCACCAATTGTGTTAGGGAATCCCATTCGCTGAAATCCGTTTTTTACTTCCTCAAGATAATCATTCGTGGGCCATAATATAAAATTTGGGCTTATATATAATAGAGCTTCTGCAACTCGCCTTACAGTCCTCAAAGCAGTGGCTTTGCCAACGTTGAATCGTCCACAGATGGATCTATGAGGAAAGTATTCAGTAGACGTTTTTATTTATGTAATTAGATTAATAAGTACCTAAAGGAATCTGGTGTTCCGAAATACCATAAAGCTGAGCAGAGTTGAACTCCTGGGGTAATAGTATGTTGACCTTTATCTATAATATTTGTCGATATTCTGTCAATTATCAATGACAAAATGTGATTGAAAGTGACCCTGTCCATCCTGAAGTTTTCTCGAAATTCTACGTCTGTGTAAAAATCCACTACTTCCTCCATAAAATTTCGGACTCTAGGTCGGGGCACTGTAAAACATTACCATTGTTATATTCCTCAAATTCAAATGAATTTAATAATACTCAAAACATTATCCATGATACCTCGAGCTCGCAACCCATCTTCCTCTTCGCTACTTGAACTATCACTCTCGGTGAGTAATTCGTTCCAAAAAAAACATTGCTATATCTATTAAAATAAAAATTGAGGTAACCCAAGAATCTTGTATACAAATCAAGTCAACGCGCCAAAGCAAATCAAAGTGACAGTTGATAGAATAAAATTGTCCCGAAAAAAACGTTCGTTGGTGCTAACCATAAACTGAAAAGTAGTTACCAGTCCGGTGAGTCTGGGCGATTAACGGAACATACGCAAAATGTCCTTCTCAACATGTCAACTGTCACTACTATCAATTCTCAGTAATGTCAATACAATACTACATTTCTCCAATAGATGTACCTACTTATTTTCAGTTTCTTATTGGAGAGCAGGAATTTCTAGTTTTATTTTTATTCTGAAATTCCTAATATATCTTCAAGTTAATAGTCGCCGGTAACTTTGTTCATTCTTCTGAAAAATCTTACTGAAGTTATGGGGAGTGGGCGGTGAATAGTTTAGTTTCGCCAGGCTATTATCGTTCTGTGGAATTTTTAGATAAGAAGAAGCATCCTTCGTAGATAAACTGCAGACAGAGTACACATTCCGCCATTACTGCAATTATTTTCTGCCAGTGTTGAATTTCACTAAAAGAAGGGGAGTGTTCATTTTACATTTCGAAAGACAAATATTTGGAGACAAACCAAAAACTGACATTCCAATAGTCATTATATTGTTAATATGAAATCTTGTAGAAACTGCCGAAGAGATACAAGTGGAGTGAATATTCTTTTGTTTTGTTGAAATTAATTCGTGGGGCCAAAATTTTTCAATAATTTCTGTTGAAAATTTTTTGTGATAAGACTTTGAAATAGCAATTATGGAGGCCGTTGCCAAACACGAATTCAATGCCACCGCCGATGATGAACTCAGTTTTAGAAAATCGCAAGTTTTAAAAGTAAGTTGATTTCAAAACAAAATTAGTAGGTGTATGTACTGTTATGCTTTCTTGACCGGAAAAAATGCTAGATTTTTTCATTTGGAAATAAAACAGTCCGAAAACTGAACCTATATTTAAAAAAATAAATTACTAACATTACCGTTCCACTTTGATATATCAAAGGTTTTATATTTCTATTGAAAAGGAAATTATTTTTAGAGATTGATTTTTTGGAGAAGTAGGAATCCAACAAAATTTTTCTTTTTGGTATTTGTTCAGTTACTGAAATACTGTCTTACCTTCTCAAAAAATGATTATTTATTCATCAATGTTTATATTGTCCCCATCAAAGTAGTTCCTCTCAGATATAGCACACATGTGCCAGCGTTTTTCCTATCCTCATATGCACTTTTTTGTATGTCCTTGAGCTCTCTCAGCAATTCGGTTTCTATCTCCTCAATCATAGCAGGAGGCCAAATCTGGTGAATATGGTAGCTGAGACATGATTACAGTGTTGTTTTTGTCAAAAAAATTACGAACAAGCAATGAAGAATGAGCAGGTGCATTATCGTGATGCAGAAGCCATGAATTGTTTTTCCACCATATCGGAGTTTTCTTCGTATTGCTTCTCGCAAGCGGTTCATTACTTTAAGATAATACTCCTTATTGACCGTACAACCATGTGGCAAGAATCCCTGATGCACTACTCCACAGTAGTCGAAGAAAAAAGTGAGCAAAATCTTGACATTTCGTCGAACTTGGCTTGCATTTTTTGGTCTTGGCGCTCCTGGGGTCTTCCTTTGGGAAGATTGGACTTTGGTTTCAATGTTATAACCATTTACCCATAATTCATCACCAGTTATGACCCTTTCAAAATGAACTTTGTTACCACATACTCCATGCCCAAAATTGCATGGCATGAGCCAACTGATATACTGACATCATTAACAACTTTTTTAACAGTGATCCGATGATTCTCCATAATAGTTTTTTCACTTTCTCAAGATTTTATCAGTTGTTGATGTGCCGGGGCGAGCGTCGTCATTCACATCTTTTCGATCTTCTGTGAAAAGCTTGTACCACTTGTAAAAAAATTTTCTGACTCAGTACAATCACCATTTTCCACTTTCAACATTTCAAGTGTTTTTGAGCAATTAATTTCATTTTTTACACAAAATTTTATGCAAATTCTTTTATCAATTTTTTTCGATTGCAGAAACTTGCTGAACACACAATATACATCTAACTTTCATGTCTGTCCCCAACAAACTAGAAATGCTACAGCTAAGACTGTCAACGAATGTCTGAGACGCTAATCGAATGAATATAGCTCACGAAATTTTAACATTCACCTTATTTTTTTAACAGTCCACACTTTATAGGAAATTGATCAATGCTTTGTAAATGATTTTAAATATTACTCAGATTTCCAATATCTTGTTCATACTTTTTGGATTTTTCTTGATTTGGATCATTTCTAGAAAAAGTCAAGATACCAGGGCACTGAAAATCTTTAATTTTGGGCGCAGATCCTAAGCCAGTTCTATACTCTTGCCTGCTACCAAACTGCACCCCAAAACCAGATTCCTGCAATTGGAACTTGCTACTTGCTAATCGAGTGTGCATAAATTATTTAGTCACTGTTTTGTTGTTCTCTTCAGTTGTTCTTCTACTATTCACACTTGAGGTTTATTCTTCTTCAAACTCCTTTGTGGTGTAATTTTGATGTTCCAATGAGGAAATATAAAGCACTATGAGGCAATCATACATTGTTTCTGTTGCAATCAATCAGCTGATGATTTGAAACAATTTCATTACATAGGTATGATTATTTTATTTTTGAATTGAAAAAACATGTTTGTGCATAAACATGAAAAGCATATATTGAACCTAATAATTGAATAACTTTCAGATTTTGAATATGGAAGATGATATGAATTGGTATAGGGCTGAATTGGATGGAAGAGAAGGTCTAATTCCAAGTAATTATATTGAAATGAAACCACATGAGTAAGTATGTCATTTATATAGAAAATTCAGATTCCACTACTACTAATATTGCATCAAATATAACAGATATTGAATGTGAATTCATCGATAAACCTATTAACTTTGACGACTAGTTTGTCTATTGTTTGTCTTATGGCTGTAACATGTCTTATGACTGTAACAATGGTGTTATCTGCATACATCGTTATGTAAAAGTCTTGTTGACACTGATTTTAATAAAGAACCATATGATACTTCTGAGTCAAGTGAATCAGTATGGCTTACAGAAAGGTGTCATGACTGGTGCATAGCTCGAAAAGTTATTACTGGTTCTTATTTTCTGACATGTTAAGAATACATCCATTATGAAAGGACTGAAATTTCTGGTCCCCTGAACCATAGGATATCCTTGAATTGACAGATTGATGGTCAACTGACAATTTTTCAATTTTTTTTCATTTGCCACATTAAGAGGTCCTTCCAAATGAATAATGTTTACCCAATGTTGCAAAAATTGATTATATCCTGAATTGAAAACAAAATGTCATTAGTTGAAATATTACACTAGTACATTTAAAATGTAACAATATTCTGATAGGTATTCATGAGAATTTTTCTCTTGAAAATTGGAGTAAACATTTAAAAAAACTTGTAATTCACTGAACTGTTATGAAAATCTTGTATGTTTCGGAATATAATTTCATTGAATAAGTATATGGAAGTTCACTCATCCTGTTGTGGTTTTCATGTTATCAATTCCAATTCATGTTATCAATCTTTAACCACTTTTCACTTTATCTGACATGAATACAAATTTCTGTTAATAATTGAATTCAATTTGTTCAGGAGATATTATTTTAATTTCATTTCCAGCTGGTATTACGGCCGAATAACGAGAGCTGATGCTGAGAAACTTTTGTTGAATAAACATGAAGGGGCCTTTTTAATTAGGATTAGTGAGACCAGTCCTGGAGATTTTTCATTATCAGTCAAGTAAGAGTCTCATTTTGATACAATAATTACAAATAGTTAAATCACAATATTCAACATATAGGGTAAAGATGTAAAAATTCTTCCGTCTCCTAACGTTTGAATAGACCAAGATGTTTCAAGGTTGAAAAAATTTACATAAAAAGGCATTATTTTTAGTAATTTTGGTGGGAAAGACATTAGTAGTCTCACTATTTTTCAAACCTAAAAAATAGTGACACTGAAAAACCTGGGCTTCAAAAGCCTTAACCATTTTGTCAAAGACATTAATGTTACATCACCACCCACTTTTTTTCAAATGGAGAAGGAAAGGCTTCAAATGATAAATATCATAATTTCATGAAATAATGTATTCAAAACTCACTCCAGTTAATTCAAATTAATGTTCGAAATATTCATTTACTTCTAGCAATAATGCAGTAATTACAAATTCACTCCTATATTATGAAATGTTCCTAGGATAATTTCGATGTGAGCCTCTCTTTTTCTATTCATGAATTCTGAAATTGAATGAATGAATGTTGTTATGTCAGATGATCTAGCCGGCTGTCTATCTACCAGTTTGGGTAATTGTAATCTAGCCATTTTCAAACCAGCCTGTTGTAATGAGCAGGTACCATATCTTGTTGAGACTTAACATCAATTGAAAACTTAATTTTTTTCAAAGGTATATGATTTTTAAGTGTACGAAACACATCCGCAGTTCATGTTTCAAGTGTCAGATCTATGTTATACTGTGGACCGTTATTATTGTTTTATATAATTTTCATATTTTTATTTATGACATGTCTTATATCATGTATATGATCGAAAAGACGAATAAAGTTATTATTATTATCATTTATGGATTGTAAAAGAGATGCTTGCAACAAAATTATCCCAGGAACACTTCATAATATAAGAAATGAAATTGTCAAGAAAACTTTCATTATTGTCAGAAAGTGAATGGTCAATATTTATTGAAATAATTTGGAGTGATGCTTGAATGTGTTTTTTTTAATTGTGATATTTATTTTTTGTTTGCAGATTTCTGAAAAAACTTATATAAAATTGCTTATTAATCAGGAACGGCTAATTCAGTTTTCAAAAATGAAAAGTTCGTATAGAGAATCGAAATACAAGGACCCCCTTTCCATTTGGTATTGTCCTTAGGACGACGAGTGATGTAACACTTTCGTCATTTTTACCAAAAAGTACTAATAATAGTTGATGCCCTTTATACGTAGATTTTGTCCTACTGTAATATGTTGCCTCGTTCAAAAGTTAGAAGGGGAGATTTTTCACATCCGAACTACGAGGTCTGTTAAAAAATAAGGTGAATGTTGAAATTTCGCGGGCCGCGTACATTCCCTTAGCGATTTATTTATTTTTTTAGCATGTTAAGTGTGTTGGTGAGAGGCATAAAAATTTGAAGTGTTTTGCATGTTCGACGATTTTCTGCTCTCGAAAAAGATGAATCAAAGAGTTTGCATCAAATTTTGTTTAAACATAGGAATTAAGTGGTCAACGGCGATAGAGATTTGCTTAAAAGGACCATAACTGGTGACGAATCATGGGTATATGGTTATGACATCAAAACTAAAGTTCAGTGAAAGAGCCCAGGAGAGCCAAGAATAAATAAAGCACGCCAAGTTCTATCAGATGTCGAGTTTTTTTTTAACTGTTTTCTTCGATTACAGTGGCTTAGTGCATCAGAAGTTCTTGCCACGTGGTTGTACGGTCAATAAGAAGTATTATCTTGAAGTTAAGCCCTTCTTGCGAACCTCGTGGCTTTTGCATCACGATAATCCACCTGCTCACTCGTCACTGCTTGTTCGTAAGTTTTTGGTCAAAAACAACACTGTAATTATGACTCAGCCACTGTATTCACCAGATTTTCTCCTTCTACGACTTTTTCCTGTTCTCAAGACTGAAGAGACCCATGAAAGGAAGTCGTTTTGCGACGATTGAGGAGACAAAAACCGAATTGCTTAGAGAGCTCTATTTGTTGTCAAAAACACAGTAAATGAAAATGAAAATCATCAAGTTGATTTTTAAAGGTCGAAAATGGATATCATTATTTTCAAAGCTTAATTTCATAACTAAACCATGTGAAATAACGCCTTCTTGACCTGGTTACGGTGAAGCAAAAGCAGGGTTGTAATTTTGACCGGTATGTACACACCTCATCAACTTTTGATGCATTATAAAGCTCAGATCAGACCTTCTTTGGAGTATTGTTCTCATGTATGGAGCTCCGCCCATAAGCATTCCTGAAGCTGTTGAATTCCACCTAGAAAAGAGCCATCCATTTGATTGGAGATGCAAACATCACTTGCAAGCTCGATAATCTGGAACATCAAAGAAAGTTTGGACATTTGTCTCTATAGATACTTTCATGGAAAGTGTTCTAGTGACTTAACACGTTTGATTCCATCAAGAGCGGTACGTATCAGAAATACGCGGCGGACTGTGGCTGCTCATCGTTTTGAGGTTCAACTCAGTATACCTCGAACTTCACTTTTCAAGAACTCTTTCATTTGGAGAACGGCGTTCATATGGAAAAAACTTCTTGATAACGTTTTTCCAAATGGATTTAATCTACAGCGATTCAAATCCAATGTGAATCGCCAGTTTCACAAATGCACCGCTCATAGAGTGTCCTAAGGATTTTCCTGTAGTGCTTGTGCTTAAAAAAAATTTATGTAGGTTTATTCATTTGTTTCCTCATAACGTCTAAACTACCTTATTATAATTTGACAAAAGTTGACATTTTAGGAGTTTTATTGTCAAACATGAGTCCATAAGTGATTTTTTAAAAGATTTTTGACCATTGAAGGTATATTCGTGATTAGTGAATAAAAATATATTGAATTTTTTTTATTATGCCCAATCATGCAACATTTTTTTATTCTTTCAACTTTTGATGCATTGAGTTGACATGTTTAATTATCATTTCAGGTGTTCTGATGGGGTTCAACATTTTAAAGTTTTACGTGATGCTGCAGGAAAATTCTTTTTATGGGTGGTTAAATTTGGATCTCTAAATGAATTGGTAGAATACCATAGAACGGCAACTGTTTCTCGATCACAAGATGTCAAGTTGAGAGATATGGTTGCTGAAGAAGTAAGTAAATAAGTAATTTTTTATTCATTTGTATTTTTCGTACAGTCCAAAATCGCCTCTTATTTTATTGGGTCATTAATAATTTTCTGATTGATTCAGCCGTTACTTGATGGAGATCCATAGTAATTTCATAAACTACTATTTCATCTCCACAAACTTTATTTGAAAAGAATATCATATATATTTTTCAAATAAAGTTTGTGAGGATCAAATCGTGAGGTGTAGTTTATGCAATTAATATTAATTATATGAAAATTTTATTAGTTTATTATTAATAATCATTTGAGAATGATGGGGAATTTAATAATGGGTTCTGAAAATGGAAGAAGATTCTTCAAATATGGTTTATGAAGTTGGTATTTCATTTCTGATTTTTTTTATGTCATATAATGGTATTATTACTGTGAACCGCTAAAACAGAGTTAGAAAAAAGCTTTTTGGCTTTTTACTTCTTCATCTATATACTTTGAAAAACATTCAAAGATAGGAAGAAATCAACTTTGAAATAAACTTTTTTAAAATATATGTTAATCATGTATAGAAATTTCTTCCAGATTTAAACTGAAAGAAGCCCCATTTTAAATGAACGTTGAATTACAGGGAAATCACTTTTTTTCAATATGTTTGCACTCCAAAGATTTGTGGTGGAATTGAAACATATTTTCTTCAGAAATGAGGTCGATAGCCGGGCGGTTTGACGTGGGTGCTTTGTTCACTCAGTCAATCGGCCGATGTGTGAGTCGATGGTTCAAGCCCCAGGCTGAACGCTCGATTTTCACTTGCTATCGTCCAACCAGTGTTAGGAATCACACGTTAAAAGATAAGACATGGTTAGTCCTTAGCTCGCACAAGTTTTGATTTCTGAGAGTTTTTCATAGGGGTACCATAGCTGGTTAACAGAAAAAAAAATTTTTAACATACGTGAATGTCGCACAACGTAATATTTGAGAGAATATAAATATGAAATTTTATTTACATGGAAACTTAGCTTACCTAGGTGTACCTCTAGAAATTCTTCTATACATTATTCTTTCTCATAAGATTACAGTTTCATGTCAAGAAGAGACAACTCTGCTATTGTGGCGATAATTTGTAAAAACATTTATATTGTTAGTTAAATCAATCACAGCCATAGGAATTCCAATTGAAAAAAAAAATATGAAAATGATGAAATTGAACTGTCACTCCCCACCTTTTCTCTGAGGACAGTTTGATCTTTTATATTTTCTTTGTGTCTTCCGAGGACAAATAAGCGAGTTCAAGTTCTTGTACATGCCACATTCCAAAAGATTTTCCTTTTTCATCCAGGAGCTCATAAGTCACCGAACCAAAAGGTGATAAGTCAGTAATATATACAAAATCAAAACAAATGAATAAAGTCCCAAAATTATTCGAAACGGAAAGCTAGGCAATCCATGATATTAATTGGGGTGAAGCATGTGGTATATTTTCCGTATTGGATTTAAAATGTTTATCAATTTAAATTAAGAATTTCTAAGATGTCAACACAAAATCTCAAGAATTTGTTTTATACTTTTTCAACAGCAATCTTGTGTTTGTCATAAAATGGGGACCATTCAAGGTCGACTCTTTCAGTTGTATTGCCAATTGCATATGCAGGAAATTTTCTGTGAAGATTCCTGCACTGAATAGCGAGGTTTACATTTTGACGTGCAATTCGTTGTGCGGGTTGGACGATACCCCATGAAAATTGATCGTCCGGCCATAGGGTTCAAACTATCGTCCACATTTTTTTTTATTTATTTATTTGCCACTGAGGTACAGTATGTACATATGGTATGTCAATAACTTAAAATATATATAGACAATAATAACAGTGTGATACGAATAAAATAGGTAGGTATTTCTTTTATGATTTATGTGTACATATCACCTCGCTTCGAGAGGTGTAACACCTCTCGAAGAGGTGTAACACCTCTCGAAGCGAAGCAGTAACTCGTCTTGATAATGCCATCTGAGATGATGGCGAAACGTCGACTATCGAATAGTACACAACGGATGAACACCCGGAAAAACAACAC